GTGGCGCTGGGTTGGGTTGCACTTCGTAAGTCCCAAAATGTGTGAGCGCATGTTTCAAGTTTCTTTCCGCTCAAACGCTTTGTGTATCGGGGGCAGGTGCGGAATTGGCTGGGGGTGGCGCACACGTGTAAACTGTTTCCCGTCGTTTTGGTGCGCGATTTTAGTTTTTCCTCTCGCTTTGCAGAACTGGGTTACCAGAAGGGAGGGTTCAAGTTTAATTATCTTGAAACAAAATTTCTGCAATTTGGGTTAACGGCTTTAAGTGTGTACTATGTACGTAACGGTGATGAAGGTTGTAAGGAATTAGGGATTCCTTACTGAGGCTTGCTACAAGGCGTACGACTCGACAGTCCCGAACAAGCGATAGGGTTCCAGACCTTTCAGTTCGAGCCTCCTGGGCCTTTCCGGACCTCGCTACGACACATCGAGGCCCTTCGAGACTTTTCCCGAACCTTCCGATCCTACGGCCAGGATCACCCTAGGCTTTCTATATATTGTATTGTCTTTCATTTTATTGTCATTCACTCGTTCACAGTTTCGCCATTGCCCTCCGCGCTACTCGGCAGTCCCATTCACAACACTTGGTATTCAGAGCAGGGCCTATTTTTCAAGGGTTGTTGCCCTGAATTTGAGTCAAATAAATGGTAGTTTTTCAGCTGGCCCCACAAATTAAGGGTTGGATTTTTATGAACCCGGGGGATTAAGGATTTATGCAGAGTGTAACCCTTGAGATTAAGGGTACATTTGTTTCCTACCCTGAGTGTACTACTAGTGCTGGTAGGGCTACAGGGGGGATCTCCTTAAGAGGAACAACTCCCCTCACAGCACGTACTCACACCAACTGACAGAGGGGAGATAACTCAAAGGTTTTCGACCTTCTCCCCTCACAGCACGTTACTTACACCTTGTAGTCACCAACAGAGGGGAGACAACTCCCTTGGTATATTTTCGTTCTTCTCCCCTCACAGCACGTTACTCACACCCCGTAGTCACCAACAGAGGGGAGACAACTCCCTTAGTAGATTTTCGTTCTTCTCCCCTCACAGCACGTTTCTCACACCTCGTAGTCACCAACAGAGGAGAGACAACTCCCTTAGTAGATTTTCGTTCTTCTCCCCTCACAGCACGTTACTCACACCTCGTTGTCACAAATAGAGGGGAGACAACTCACTTAGTGGATTTTCGTCGTTCTCCCCTCACAGCCCCGTGCACGTTACTCACGTCCTTTTCATCTTGTCCATACATCTCCTGGTAGATTCTAACCGTGGCAGTCAAAAGGGTACTGTGCGAACGAACCCTGATGATTAAGGGTTGCCTTCCGCTGGACCCTGAACATTAAGGGTAAACTTTCAAGGAGCCCGATTTTTTAAGGGTGACTAAAAACCAAAAGTAAGCCCTGATTCAGAGCCACTTTCCTCACCCGCTGGGCTTCTGAGGGCAATTTTTTTTGGGAGGGGGAGAAGGCGGATGGCGCTACAGAAGGCACAACGGTTGTCCTGAAGCATGATCTGATATGCTTCAACAACTGCGTCTGCGTGGGCTTCTAACGACCGTCGATCCGACCCCAAGGGACGAGCAGGATTCGCTCGTCCATCCCCTCGAGGGCGGTTGTGTCCGTCCTGACATGGCGAAGTTTTTGAAGAGTGTTTCCGGTATGCTATTCATTTCGCATATCGTTAAAGGAGTTTCGGTTGCAGTTTCAGAAAATTCGGCAAGCAGCAACGACGATTCGGATTGGTGTCCGAATGAAGCGAGGAGCTCGTCACGAGACGACAAGCTCGCGGATATCCCCAGGCGAAATGGGTCTCGTCAGGAGCGCGTGTAGCAGACGTGGCTGCATGGTGAAGTGTAGCTGACGTTACGAGGCTCGGCGTTTCCGGCAGGCGACACGCAGGTGAAGACGGGACTTCGGAACTGTTCAGCAAACGCGGCGTTGGAGTTTTCGGCACGACCAAGGATCGCACAACAGCACACGTGGGGCTCAGGCACGGAAAAGTTTCGGGGAGTACTGACCTCGAAATTGTTTCGCGTGACCTGCCCGCCTGGAGGTTAAATTCGTCTGCCCTGGAGTTTCGAGATCGGCGAGTCTGGATTCCTGCAGAGGAAGCCATTTTCGTGGTCAGAAATTACGCTCCACGATCTACGGAGGACGACCAGCCGGGTCACCGCTAAGAGTCAAAGACGAAGAGCTGAAGAAGAGAAGGAGAACGACTGGGTAACAGCCGGGAAAAAAATAAGAGTCAGCGGCAAACGGATCCCCCCGACTGACTAGGCTGGGTCGCCCGATCTTCAACATCTCCACCGGGTGGTAGTACGATACATGCTATCGACCGCTCCCGGACGAATGAAGGAGGATGAGCCAGCGGATCACCCTGTGCTGGTGGATCGAAGAAAAGTTTCGGCACTACACGACAGGCGAACGATTGGTGAAAATCGGGCGCTGTACTGTGGAGGCGCGAGAAGCGGATTGACGAAAATAACGAAGGATTTTTGCGATAACGATCGGACGGTACGCGGAGCTCGATTCCGATACGAACGGCGAAGATGTTTCGCCAAGAACGACGGAGCTGCGAGTTTTTCGAAAGAACGTGCGCGTTACTGTTTGGAGAACGACGAACGTGGGCACTGGGTGAACAGCGGTCTACAGGGGTGTTTTACTCTGGAAGCAACAGTTGAAGAAATTGTAGCAGTTTGGAGCAGATTGTTGCAGAAACGGGTCTTTTCAGGGAGGGGAAGGAGAATCCCTCACGTAAGCTGCAAAGCGGTTGCCCGCGAATTAGACTGATTAATTCGCCCAACTATGATAGCGTTTGCGCTTACCTGAGTACGGGCACACGGTGGATTCACCCCTGCTCTGGAGTGTAGTCATCAAATGGAGCTTCAGGACGACAAGGGTTACTGTTGCAGTGGGGAAAACGTGTTGCCGTCACGGAAAATTTGGAGTCACGCGGGAGTCTTCTAAGATTAACCCTGGGCTGCGGGGCTATAATCAAAGACTTGGCTGCGAGGACTCATTCGTGGATTTACCTGGACGGGCGCAATGATGGGTGAACGTCGGCGCGTCGCTAAAACGTCGGGTATTTGCCGGGTGGGAATTCTTCAAGTTTTCGGCTGGAGCGGTAGCTGGGGTCCCGGGTACCTACCGAGCTGTGCGAAGGTTTAAATACCAGCAGGGTTAGTCGGTGAAACTGCAGAGAATGCGTTTTTCGGAGCTGAGAACTGTACCCAAGTCCTTCTGGGGTACCTGCCGTAGCCGCGCGATGGGTAAACGTCTGCACGGTGAACCGGTCAGGTGGAGTTACGGAAATTTCTACAGAGGGTAACAACACGAAGCAGATCGACGGCATTCTGCGGAGAAGAATATCGATCTACGGTGTCGGATGGAGTTTGAGTCTCCGTGGCGCATTTGCCCTGCGTTATAGGGTCGCGCTGAGACTGGTCCCGACGAGCACAATTCGAAGATACTTCAAGATTTCTGGGTCTAAAGAAACTTGAAGCCGGATGTTTTTCGGCATCGACGACAGAAGATTTTCTTTTCGTGGAGGGGGGAGAGAGCAGCTGCGCAGCAGTTGTTTTTGTGGATTTACCCTCGACAGTTTTACATCCGATGCATGAGCATCGACGGATAGATGCTGTTTGACCGACTGAATCGACGGACAGATTCGAGTTGGTCTTTCGGGAATTTCGCTGGTGTTCGCGAAATTTGGAGGCGTGTTTACATTAACCGCCTGAAGCGACATCAACTACGGTTACTGGACTGAGTATGCTTTCGTTCTTGTGCTGATGGAATTCGCTGACTTTCGTGAGACACGGACGCTTGTTCTCGCATGTGTCGCGAGTGACCTCGCATTTGACGAAGAGCAGTAGTTCGTTGACTTTGCAAAATGCGGACGCGTGTTTCTGCGAGTGTCACGACTCACGAGAAATTAAACGAGGAGCGATCTACAGTTACGGAGCTACGGACAAGATTGGCGCATGGTGAAGATTCGGCTCGCCAACTTGCAGCTTTGTGAATAACGTGGTGTTACTGTGCGGATACAGTACACGACGGTTGGAGTTTGCAATTCTCGGCGAAGGATTCGCTGGAGACAAGGAAGCTGTGGTGCGGTAGAATCCCTACTGCCCGTTTGGTTATCAGGGTAATTCGACCAAGATTCGACGGCTACGATCGACCGCGATCGTTTCGACGTGTTTTGACCGTTGGATGGAGTTTCTTGAAGAAGCTCGACATTCTCAACAGTGGTGGCTTCACTACTACGAGATTCAGTTAGAGTGTGTGTTGTTTTGTTTATTTGTGTGCTTATCTAGAAGGGGGGAGAGTGTAAGGAATTAGGGATTCCTTACTGAGGCTTGCTACAAGGCGTACGACTCGACAGTCCCGAACCAGCGATAGGGTTCCAGACCTTTCAGTTCGAGCCTCCTGGGCCTTTCCGGACCTCGCTACGACACATCGAGGCCCTTCGAGACTTTTCCCGAACCTTCCGATCCTACGGCCAGGATCACCCTATGCTTTCTATATATTGTATTGTCTTTCATTTTATTGTCATTCACTCGTTCACAGTTTCGCCATTGCCCTCCGCGCTACTCGGCAGTCCCATTCATAACGAAGGTGGACGGAGTAATGTTACTCGTTAGAGAACGTCGCGATGCTTCTTTCCGTTCTCAAAAGTGTGAATCGAATCCACCAGTAGGGGCTTGCTCCATAGTCAGGGCTCCAGACCCTTTTCGTGGATGGAAGTAGACACAAATGAATACGCAAATTCTGAAACTCGTTTCGTTCATTCGACGGAACGGAATGTCAGCTCCGCTGGTGGTCTGGACTACCCCACCCTAAAATGCCGGGTTACCCCTACAGAATGCAAGACGACACGGGCCAAATGAATACACCTTGAGAGGTTCACTTCTCGGGACGGAACACCTGACTAGGAGCAAGAGACTCGTCAGTCGTACTCTCGGCCGGAGCAGTAAAAGCGGAATCGCAATCTCGCACCAGCCGAGTTTTACCGCCGTTTTCTAGTCTCAAAATGAAGCCCTCTACTACTCTCAACAACCTAGATGACGATCTCGTCATCAAGATTCTCTGGCATAAGCAGCCCACGCCTAGGAAATCTCACGCAGACAGATTGTGGGAGTCTTGAGACCCGGATCGGAAACCCATCTACGAATGGCGATCTGTCCGTATTGACGTGGACGATATGTACGCGAGCCCTGTTCCAATCCCGCCTGCCGTCGCGGACGCCGCTTTAAGTCTCTTTAACGCGTCCGTCTGCCATCGATGGCGGGAACTTGCAAAAAAATACATCTCCACGCTTGCGGTCCGAGAAGACGGTCCGAGGAGACGCTGCTGTGTCCCGTGACGATCTCGCCATCGCTGTGTATAGATTTCCAAACCTGGCGCATCTCTACTTGAGCGACAGTAGCGTAGAAGCACTGAACGACAATCTCCTGGACCGGCTAGCCTCGTCATGCCCTAAACTGACCGCTCTCCACGTGGGATGGAAATCCTTGCAGAAGAACGAACGTGACAGATGGCTTGGAGGCAAACGGCTTGGATCTGCTCAAACTGTGGATCCTGGCAGGACTGGCAGGAGGGAGGAGTACCCGATCAGGCCAGTCGGCCTGGACCAGCTCTTCCAGAAGTGCCCGGGACTTCAGCAGCTGTCTCTTTCCGCTTCCCACAAGGATGGAGAGTTACCAGCTTCGTTCTTTCAGCTGAAGCATCTGCAAGCGCTACTTCTCACGGATGCTGCAGCCTTGGAGAATCCTGGATTCAAACTCCTTTCTGCGCCCACCTTTCCCTCCCTACCCTCTTTCAAATTCACCAGCCCTTTTCTCCTTCACACATGGCGCTGCCGCCTTCCCTTCAATCGCTGAAATTCTTGGAATCCTGTCCTCAGCTCGACTCCATCCTTCTCTCAGCATCGTCATGCACCAGCATTCATCCTCGGTTAGTGGAGCTGCTGGTTACCAGGTGCGACCAGCTGCATCGCCTTCCAGGCGGCCTAGGAGAGCTGCTGCTGCCCTGCCTGCGGAAACTCACCCTTCGCGGCTGCGAATCCCTGGTGGAACTTCCTGAAGATTTCACGTCTCTCACCCGGTTGGAAAATTTGTCATTTCCTGCTCTCCCATCCTTAGTGACTTTTGAGTCGACTCAAAAGTCACTTCGAGGCTGCGAGTCCCTGGTGGAACTTCCTGACGACTTCACTTCTCTCACCCGACTGGAATCATTTGTCATTTCTGGCTCTCCCTTCCTTTCCAGCCTACCGCGGAATTTCGGCCAAATGCCGGCCCTTAAAGTCTTGGTGTTGGAGTCTCTGGCGCTCTCCGCCCTCCCTAACTCCCTCTGCCGCCTCAATTCACTCGAGGCGCTGTTCTTAATGAACTGCGACGAGATTGTGCACCTGCCAGCGGAGTTTTCCCGCCTGACTGCCCTCAAATCGCTGTGCCTTGTGGGCATGCGTTGGTTGGTGCTGCCAGAAGAGATTGGAGAGCTCCCTGGTCTCCTGGCTTTCCACATGTCTGAGAACGAGCAAGAGCTTCTCCCCGAGCAAGTGCTTCTCCCCAAGCAAGTGCTTCTCCCCCCCTCATTTTCCCAGCTCTCCTCCTTGACAGATCTTGAGTTCCTTAGCTGCAACATTCGGACACTTCCCGAGGGCATGTAGGCGCCGCAGAACATGCGGGGGGTGCGATTCTTTGACTGTTTTAAGCTCAAGCATCTTGCAGACTCCTTTGCGAGACTCACTCGGCTTGAATCCCTCAGGTTCGAACTTCACATGACAGGGGATGAGCCTTCTCAGCTCCGTTCAGTGCCCAAGAATCTGGGCAATCTTGGGAGGCTGAAAGTGCTGACATTCTCGGGCTGTGACATGCTTACGGAATTTCCAAAGCGGCTGCCAGGGTCACTTGAGGTGCTGCGACTGGGAAATTTGAGTCAGGAAACTGCACTTCCGGATTTCTCTCTGCTGCCAAATCTAAGGGACTTGGTGCTACATCTGCCTAGGGTGGAGAGACGAGTGGTAATTACCAGGAGCTTGCGCCAGCTGGAAAGCTTGTACCTGCAACTGAAAGACAGTGCAAGAGTGATCCCATTCCCGCTGACCCTCCCGCGGCTGAAGCTGCTGAGAGTCTCATCAGCTGGGCTGATGAGGCTTCTGGAGAACATTGGGTCGATACTACCGCAGCTGCAGCAACTGAGGATTGAGAAGAACGCTCACTGAAGAGGCTGCCAGAGAGCCTTACTGAGCTGCAGAACCTCACATTCTTGGAGGTTTATTCACATGGCTGTGAGGATGTGCTGCTGCAGTGGCTACTATACCTGCTTCTCCTTTCCTTGCTTGTCTCTCCTCGTCCTTGCTTATCTCTCCTCTCCCTTGCTGACAGAGCTGTTGTTTGTTCCCCTGCAGGTGCAATGCAAACGCCTTGTGTGTATCAAGCTAATGCATAAATTGTAGCTGCTCTGTGACAGGAATTTCGCAGCGTCTTTCTTCAACAGACATTGCATTTGCATGGGATACGTTTACCAGTACTGCTGACAAGTACCATACACCCACACAGGCATCAACGAGCCACAATGGCGAAGCAAGTCACCCACCTCCCCAAGCAAGAATGATCACCCATGCCTTGTGGCCTCATGCACGAAGTTTCACCCATGCCCAAAATGCTGGTGGAAGTTTGAAGGAACCGAACCATGCCCTGCTGCTCCTCGATCATGCACATAGCTGCACACTGCTGTGCATTACACTGCATTTTTGCATTCTATCCATCATGCTGCTGCTGCTGCTGCTTCAAGTGCATTCTTCAGGCGCCTAAGAAAAACACAGCTGGCACTTCGTCCTTCAGCCTGCTGCTGCTTCAAGCGCCTTCTCCTCTGCTGCATCCATGCCGGAAATTTCAAGAATTCGAAGCCGGGTCAACTCCTGGCAGACACGGGGAGATGCGGAAAGGGGAGACTGGCTAAGAAAGACACCACTGGCATTTAGTAGCCCTTCAGCCTGCTGCTGCTTCAAGCGCCTTCTCCTATGCTGCATCCATGCCGGAAATTTCAAGAATTCAAAGCCGGGTCAACTCCTGGCAGAAATGGGGAGATGCGGAAAGGGGAGACTGGCTAAGAAAGACACCACTGGCATTTAGTAGCCCTTCAGCCTGCTGCTGCTTCAAGCGACTTCTCCTCTGCTGCATCCATGACGGAGATTTCAAGAATTCGAAGCCGGGTCAACTCCTGGCGATAAGAAACACAATATTTTGCCAGAATGGGATGGGTGAGACATGTAACCAGAATGAGGATGGGTGAGACTCACTACCAACGACTCAAAGTGCCTCACAACTAGAATGTACCTCTTACTACCCCTCTCTTGTCTCTTTCCACTCAACAGTTCTTCTGAAAACTCAAAGTGTCTCTCACCTGTCAGTGTTACTATTCACCCGTGTGTAACAACTCAACCACCTGTCACCCTAGTTGTTTGCACAAGTGGACCTTCAGGGTGGCACCTTGAGTCATCTTGTGAGTCGCCTCAAAAGTCACCTTGACTCATCTTTTGAGTCGACTCAAAAGTCACCTTGACTCATCTTTTGAGTCGACTCAAAAGTCACCTTGACTCATCTCATAATGTAGCGCAAAACACCCTGAAGGTCCACTGCTGTTTTGCCGACCAGCCCGACAAATCCGAATCCACACAGGTGTTTTGCTCCAATTCGGATCCGGATAAGAAATCTGAATTCACACAAAATCAGAATTCGGATTCAACTCCAAATAGGCCTCAAATCCGAGTCAAATATGGGGGGGCTGCTATTCGACCCATATTCGACTCGTACGACTTCACATAGAGATTCGACGAAGGATTCGGGGCAGATTAGTGACCGGAGGGCGGGAAGAGTGTGGGGTGGGGGAGTTGACCTTCTCGCTGCGGAATTGCGGATCTACCTTGCGCGCTTTGAGTGGAGTCAAAACACGCGGTCGAACCTACCTTTCACTTTCACGAAGGCGGACTTACGTGAAGGATCAGCCAAGCCACGTATGCAGCGACTTTTGAGGCGCCTCAAAAGTCAGCCACATATGCAGCGAAGACAACACTAAGAGGTCCAAGTCTCAAGCAGAGGGATTGGAAGCCGGGTGGATTGAAATTCACTTTTGAGTCGCCTCAACAGTCAATTTTAAGTCGACTCAAAAAACGAATCTAGGTTACATCACACATCAGCCGCATATGCAGCGAAGACAAAACTAAGAAGTCCAGGTCTCAGGCAGAGGGATTGGCAGCTGAATTGTTTTTTGTGAATTCTGAGTTGAATTGGTTTTTGAGAATTCCCAAATGAGTTGAATTGGTTTTTGGGAATTCTAAAAAACCATTGCAGCGAAGACAACACCAAGAGGTCCAAGTCTCAAGCAGAGGGATTGGAAGCCAGGTGGATTGAGATTCGCGGACACTTCAAAACAGTCTTTAAATTCGACAGGAATCCACCTCTACTATTCGTAAAATCAATCCGACTTATTATTCGGCAAAAAAATCCGTAAGAAAAAAAATTCTGAACCGGATTCGAGACTCGTCGTGCATGCTTACCCACTCTGCTCAACACTTGCACGTGTGTCATTTAAGAGTGCACGGCAACTTAAAAGGCGGAGCATCCCTTTGAGGCGCCTCAAAAGGCAGCCCATCGCAAGGCGAACTCACTTGCTGGTGACCATTGGTGTGGCGAAAGGTCAGTTCTGAGACGTCCCAAATCTCTAATCTTTTGAGGCGCCTAAAAAAACAGCCCATCGCAAGGTGAACTCACTTGCCCCGGTGAGGATTGGCACCGCAATAGGGCAGTTTTAAAAGGTCTTAGAGAAAAAAAGAAGAGAAAAAAAGGGCGCGTCAAAAGGCAGCCCGTCGCAAGGCGGACTCACTTGGCGGTGGCCGTTGGTGCGGCGATAGTTCTTTCTCCTCTTCTTCTTGAACACAATCACCTTGGCGTCAAGAGCCTGGGCGGGCGCACAAGGGTCAAGTCAAGACAGACAGGATTCTTTTGACTTGACAATTGAAACTAGGCACTGCAAAACACAATTATCTTGGCCGTGAGTCTTTCTCCTTCCTTCTTTTCTTCTCAAACACAATCATCTTTTCAGACACTTTCACCTCGACCCAGCCTTGGCCTGAACCAAGGGCTTCAAAATGGCAGTGGTCAGGATAACAGGCACTGCACTGCACTGCAGGCGATAACAGTGCGCGCTCATTATACAGACTCCTCAAAAACCCAGAGCTGGAAAATGAGTAGTGAGACCTCGGATGCCTCGGGTTCAGAAAATCAAGAGACGACGTTGGCAAAGCACCTGACAGACATTCTCCCGATGCTCATTACATTCTCCCGATGGGGCTTCTGAGCAATGAGCACTCCGAGATTCTCCAAGCCGAGTGAACTGTCGGTCAGGCATACAATAGAACTCACATGCCCTTCCACAAGGGTTGAAACAAAGGCGCCTGGGAGAAGTAAAGCAGTTAACGCAACTCAATAAGGTAGGGTGTCAACTAGGTCCACAACTCACATGCTCTTCCACAAGGGCAGAAACAAAGGCGCCTGGGAGTGTGGGCCGGCCAATGAGAGACGAGGAGGGCGAGCCGATCAGAAGCACCTTCTCCAGGTGAATCTGACAGATGAGATTGCACGAGGAGGAGACAAAAAGAGGAGAGGAGAGGAGAGGAGAGGAGAGGAGAGGAGAGGAGAGAAGAGGAGATGAGATGAGATGAGAGGAGAGGAGAGGAGAGGAGAGGAGAGAAGAGGAGATGAGATGAGATGAGAGGAGAGGAGAGGAGAGGTCAGGACGAACAAACAAGAAGGCTGACACAATAATACTGGGCATTATAAACTTAGAAGAGTTGGAATCCACAGTATCCCCATTGTGCACAATATCCCCAGACTGTGCACATCATTCCCACAAGCACCGCATTGAACCTATACGCACCACGTCATTGATATGTGCACACCCATGCGCAGCATGGAGTAGCCATCTCGCACCCCATTAAACATATACGCACTGCATTGGACCTACCAGCACTGCACTGAACCCCCACGCACCACGTCATTTGAGCTATGCGAAATTGAGCCTCTTCACATATATGGCATCTCCAACACGCAACACATCATCCCCGGACAGCACATATGCACCACATCAGAGCCATACAGCACCACACAGCACCGCATCACTGACATATGCGAAGTTGAGCCCCTCCATGTACATGGCATCGCCCACACACGACATTAGGACCAGGGTTCAAAATTACGGCGTTTTTTATATTTTTAGCCCGTATTTTACGGTTTCGTAATTTACGGCCGTATAATACGAATATTACGGCTCGAAATCACATTTTTTGAGTTGGTTCAAAAAAACGGCCGTTTTCTACGGCCGTTTTTTTAAATCCGTGGTGTACATTCAGAATCTCGAATTCCGTACCAGAATTGTGGGGATGGGGGTACACGCGCACCCCCAAATGTTCATAAGTCAACGTTTTCTTTTCGCGAAGCGCGAATTCACCCAAACCCCGAGTCACGCATTTTACCAAATTTTTCTTGTGCCGTTATGAAAGAACCCCCCCCCTTCGCGAAACCCGTTGGTTATTTCGCGCCCAGTAGGGTGGTCTCGCACAATTTGCAAAACCACTATGTCGAAGCGTGTTTCTAAAACAGAACCCAATGCATGTTGGTTCTCTTCGAAGCCTTTCTCAACCCAACTTCGAACTGTGTGAGATACAAATACAGAGGACGTTTTCTAAGCTACCACAGGACGTAGTTTGGAGCGTTTTTCCGGCTGGAATCTAAGCCAGTTTACTCTACCGCCTAGCAACTCCAGATTTCCATGTTTGTAGGTGCCATGGTGCATTACTAAGCATTCAGTTGACGTTGAAACCGCATAGGAGCCATTCCCCTTCGGAAAAAAAAAAACCATGTGCTCTATTTAAATTACGCCGTTTTTTTCCCAAACTGCCCGAAAAAAACGGTCGTAATTTACTGACCGTATTTTTCGAAAACCGTAATTTTGAACCTTGATTAGGACCATTCAGCACCGCTCTAAACATGGCCACACCACAATAGAACCACACAGCACCGGAATAAATCCCTTCTCACCGCATCATTGACATGTGCAAAGTTGAGCCCCTCCATGTATATGGCATCGCCCACACGCAACCCAGCCCAGCATCCCCACACAGTGCATATTCACTGCATTGAACCCATACACACCACACTCGGACCGTACAGCACCGCACTCAACAAGGACACACCCCATTGAACCCACACAGCACCGCATTCAACCTTCGCTCACCTCATCGTTCACATGTGCGAAGTTGAGCCTCTCCACGTAGATGGCATCTCCTGGAGACTACATTCGGACCATACAGCACCGCACTCAACTCGGTCACACCACAATAGAACCACACAGCACCGCAACAAACCCCTTCTCACCACGTCATTGACATGCGCAAAGTTGAGCCTCTCCACGTAGATGGCATCTCCAGGTGTCACCTTGAACTGGTGCGAGCCCACCTGATTCGACAACAATGTGACACGTGTGCAAATGTGACACGTCAGCAAACAGATGGATGGAGAGGGGTGTGCAGAGGCCGTGCAATAGAGTAAGGCATTAAGGACCGTCAGAGTGACGTTGGGGGGAGGCATCAAAGGATATCGAGCGTGAGGTTGGGGGAAACGGGGAGGTCACGGAAAGTGGGGTAAGAAGATGGGGGGCAAGGGGACGGGGGAAGGGGACGGGGGAAGGGGGAAGGGGGAAGGGGACGGGGGAAGGGGTGGCAAGTTGACTGGTGGTGATTGTGAGTGACTGCTTTGAAGGGGCGATAGAGTGAGGCATCAAAAGAGAAGATTCAGAGCCAGGTTGGGCGAAATGGGGGGTGAGGGAAGGTGGGGGAAGAGGATGGGGGGGTTGGGGGTTGGGGGGGAGGAAAGGGAGGGGGAGAGGCGTGGCGGATTGAGTGGTGGTTGTGAGTGACTGCATTGAAGGGGCGATAGAGTGAGGCATCAACGAAGATTCCGAGTAAGGCTGGGGGAAATGGGGGGTCACGGATAGAGTGAGGCATCAACGGAGATTCAGAGTAAGGTTGGGGAAAGCGGGGGGGAGGGAAGGGAAGAAGAGGGGGGGTACCGCCCTGCACCGCCTCTCACCGTTACACACCCCAACACCTCGCACCCATGATTCCCACTCTTCCCTGTACCGCCCCTGCACCGCGTGTCACCGATCTACACCCATCGTCTCGCGCCCATCATCACCTCACACAGTTTTTTCCGCACACGATGGATGTAGATCGGCTCACCGCACCTGGACGCACCTGGACCACCGCGAACGCGTCCATTTCCTTGATTTCAACGCCCGCCTCTTCGCTGACGTCACTCCGCCCGTCCTGCGCCGCTTCCCCCCCCGTTTCCCCCCGCGTTCCCCCTCTGAAGCGCGCCGATGCGGGCTCCGCCACGCGGTAGCCGATCTCCGCCGCGTTTTCCTTCCGCCATTGCCCCAAGAATGACAGCGCGAACCCTTCCCGTGGGGCGTCCGCGGTACTAACATCCGCGCTACTAGCGATCGCGCTACTAGCACCTGCGTGAGCTTGAGCGGTGAAGAAATCCCGTACATGTAACGAGCGACTCCATAACGAGGACTTCACGTGGACAGCAGGATTGGGTGGAAGGAGAAACGAAGGACGCCTAACTGGCGAAAGTGTATGCGACAGGGTCTGCGAAAGTGTGTGCGCCAGCGTGTGCGACAGCGTGTGCGACAGTGTGTGTGACACTGTGTGCGACAGTGCTAGCGAACTTCTCTGCAAAGGAGGATTTCCAGCGGGATCGATGGACTCTAGGTCTGGATGCGACCGCGATGAACTGTACAGCTCGGTGCAGCATGTAACCGTCCGATAAGCTACAGATGGCACGAAAGCCGTCGATTCGCTCGCGAGGGCGAACACGTGGCGAAATCGCGAAGCGACGGGGTTTTGAGGCGACGCAAAGAGGAACTGCGGATCTGCCGCCTCTCCGCAGCGGCGCGTGTGGTCGCGACACGCATGGCCCGCCGCGATTACCGCTCGCCGCATGGCGCAACGGGACAGGGAGGTATGGCGGAACTTGGTAGCAGCGAGTTTAGTGCTCCCTGGACTATTTTGTCAGAAGCTCGGCCTAGGAGGCTTTGGGGTGGTCGAAGCCAAACCAAGGCCACTCGTACGCGGTAAAGCGGTTGCACGTTCGTTTCCTGTGTGCATTTGAGGCTGGAATGTATGCAACGCTGACTAAACTGCCCTTTGGCTCAACACTAAACAAAACAACAGAAAATTCTAAAAAATTGAATTATTTCCTTCTGTAATGCCGATTTAGGCCCATTTTCTTGCTAACTTGGAGCTCTAAGTTTGGTTGACCACGACTTTTCTTCGTGAACTGAACTTATAGAAGAATTTAACGGACCTTCCATAACGCGGCCACACCGGAAACTGCCAAGTTTGGTTGACCACGACTTTCCTCCGGCCACTTCGTCCCCCGATTTTCCCGCGAGAACTTCCCGCGCTCGTGTTTTTTCGGAGACATCGCCGACCAATAGGCTAGGCCAGTGCTCTTGAAACGTCTCCCCGGCTCCACGGTTTTTCCACCCCGATTTGGACGGGCCGCCGAAACATTTCTCGCAGGAAACATCTGGGTCTGAGCAGCCTTCCCTGGACACTTCCAGTACTTACCGGCATTGTGGATACAGATAGGAGACAATTGACTTTCCGACTCGTCGCCGCCACCAAATGACCATACGCCAGCAAAACGCAGGGTAACACATCACTGGCCCAGAATTTTTGTCGCTTTGGAATGTTTCTCTCTTGCATGCCCGACAACAAAAGGGGCAAACCTGATCCAGATGACACCCCATCGTCAATTACCGGCCGGTTCTTGAAGTTTGCTGCAGAAGCCCGATGAATGCAAGCAGTGCTTTGCTGGGGCATAGCATATGCCTATATTTCTCCTGCTCCCACAACCTGCTCCCACATATTACGTAGTAGTTCATGACGTATAGATTCCGTTGTCGATTACGTAGTACGTTCAAAATTACGGCCCGCGCTTCACGAGCAGTAGTTCAATCTCTGCAGCAGAAGCACCTTTAGTCAGATAGACCCCTTTCGGGTTCACGCGCCGTTTCTCGACGTTCATTCGCTCCTTCATCCCTCGGACTCGCCTCAGGAGGGATACTCTTCTCAGCAATGGAGCTTCGACGCCTCTTCCCCATTCTGGTCCTGCTCCTCGTCTCCGCCTCGCTCCTCCACCCCGTCTCTTCCGCCCGGAACTTCCCGTCCCAGGCAAAAGGCCGCTCCAATTCCCCAAGGCAACTCGACTGCAGGTTCGTCGCGAAAAAAATGGAGGCGAGCAAGGTGGTACGCCGAAGTACTACTTTGGCGGAATCCCCACTTGGGCTCGTAAACTCTGGTTCCATACTCTTCTAATAGAGGTTTTTTTTTTGGCGGATTTTCATTTCTTTTTTTAATCATACGTCAATTCGTGCATCGTCTTATTTTTTCCCATCTCGCAGCAAGACGTCTTGGCCCGAGGTGCTGGGAATGACGGGTGAGGAGGCTCGCGATTACATCCAGGCGGCCGTGCCGCAGTGCAACTGGACCATCGAAATCATCCCGTTTGGGGCTTTCGTCACCATGGATTATCGCAGCGATCGCATTCGCATTTTTGAGGACGAAAACGGAAAAGTTACGACTGCTCCCGTTGTTGGGTGATTTTTATAACTCGGTACTCGCTTGAAGTAGCACGCTTCTCGTTCGCTAAAATAGTTGCACACATAACTGTAGATATCAAGGCCTTGCTGTGCTTGATTGAATCGCATCCGCATTTTCGAGGACGAAGACAAGAAAGTCCGGATGGGCTTCTTCTGTGGTTAATTGGTGATGTCCTGGCTGCGAGGATGGCTGCAGTGCCGTGGCCGATATCCCTCTGGAATTGATGGCATGATTTTTGTAGTGATTTTTCTTACACTCATTGTAGTGATCTTTTTTAGCTCGACACACGCGCTAGTGATTTATTAGTAATACCGTAACTCCATTACTTTCGCCAATATCTTCTGTTTTTTTATGCGGAGAGCATTTGTCGTGTCAAAGGCTGGACACAAGGCCTAGGCAAGCATGCTCTCTGTGGTAAGAAAGGTGAGCCTCGCGACATCTACATTCCCCATAACATTTTTCCGAGCATGTACAGTGGACGTAAAAAGCGCTGGACACGCCCTAAACATGGTTGTCTCCCCACTTGTTTTAATCCTGAGAGTGCTTCACTTAGAGAGCCTATTTCCTGTTTAGTGGAGAATCAGTTTGGATTTTACAAGGCAAGAGATCTTTCTGCTAACGGAAACTCCACGCTGCAACTCTTCCTCCAACGAGTGACGATCCTTGGGATCTCACTAACGAGCTGCAGGGGAGAATCAGGCGATTGTCCGACTAACTGGAAGAGCGGAAGGGAGAGCGAGAAGTGCAAGGATGCGGAGGAAGGAGGGAGAGGAAGGAGGAAACATGGAGAGAGGAGTATGAGGAGTGTGGGGAGTGATGAGGGGAGCGGCAGCAGTGGTAGTAGTACAGGGGATTAGGAGTGCGAGAAGAGAGGAGATGAGGAGAAGGGAGGGAACATAGAGATGGCTTCAAATGGAGATGAGTGTGAGGGGTGTGTGGTGTGTGAGGGGTGTGAGGGGTGTGTGGTGTGTGAGGGGTGTGTGGTGTGTGAGGGGTGTGAGGGGTGTGTGGTGTGTGTGGGGTGTGAGGGTGTGGGGTGTGAGGGGTGTGTGGGGTGTGAGGGGTGTGTGGTGTGTGGGGTGTGTGGGGTGTGAGGGGTGTGTGGTGTGTGGGGTGTGTGGGGTGTGAGGGGTTTGAGGAGAAGAGAGGAGTGGGAGGAGTCTGTTTTTGAGGCGCCTAAAAAAAGGGGAGCGGCATGTAATGGTGGTAATAGAGTAGGGGAGAGCAAGTGGGTTAATGGGTGGGGCAGGGAAGGGCGAGGAGATTTGGATTTTGAGAATCCTGAAGAGTGCAAGTGGGGGAATTTGTGGGGCAGGGAAGGGCAAGGAGGGGGCACGCGGAGGAGGAGGAGCAGGAGGAACAGGATGTGTGAGTGGGGGAGGGGATTCACCTGTGAAGGCATAAAAGGAGGGATGAAGGGGAAGGACGAGAGGGAAGACGGGAGGTGAGGGTGGCACCGGTGGTGCTACAGATGGTCATGAGCCCAGAGATTGCTGCTGCTGCTGCAGAGGAGGAGGAGGAGGAGGAGGAGGAGGAGGAGGAGGAGGAGGAGGAGGAGGAGGAGGAGGAGGAGGAGGAGGAGGAGGAGGAGGAGGAGGAGGAGGAGGAGGAGGTGTGGGAGCGTGAGGGGAGTACAGATGATGATGATGATCGGAAGGTGAGGGTGGCACTGGTGGGGTTACAGATGGTCATGAGTCCAGAAACTGCTGCTGCTGCTGTTGCAATTGCAATTTGGGCACGAAGATGTGCGGAAAGGGGGAGGGGGGGGGGCGGGGGGGGGAAGGGGAAGGGGGGAAGGGGAAGGAAGGAAGGGAAACAGGGGGAGGGAGGTAAAGGTGAGATTTGGAAGAGAACGACAAGGGAAGGAGGGGAAGGGCAGTATGAGGAGACGATCATAGGGTAGGGGCTTCATTCTCGAGGAAGTTGCTTTTGAGGCGACTGAGAAGGGGGGGAAGGGAGGAAAAGGAGATGATAATAGAGGCGTCACCCTGAGGATTTAATTTCTCTGAAAGTGCTTACATTGAAATTGCTCGTGTTGACGGTGCTTGTATTCAGAGCGCTTGTATTGAGAATGCTTGTATTAAGGCCGTTTGAAGCCTCGAGCAGAGAGATCACTGCATCCCTTAGCTGCTCATTCTCCTGGTGGGAAAAGGTGGGAGACGAGAAGGATGTGGAGAGAGGAGAACATGTGGCATCTATTCGAGTGGAGGCGAGCGCTCACACAGAGCTGATTGCCTCGAGCAGAGAGGTCACTGCACCCCGGAGGTGCTGATTCTCCTGTTGGGAAAAGGAGGGGAGATAAGAGCATGAGGAGAAAGGAGAACATGTGGCATTGGGAATGCTTGTATGGAGTTCGTTACATGGCTCCAGCAGAGAGCTCACCGCATCCCTAAGTTGCTCATTCTCCTGGTGCAAAAAAAAAGGGAGAGGTGAGAGGGGTAAAGGGGAGCATGTTGCATCGCCGTGAGTGCAATGCAGCATGGAAAGCAGCATGTAAAGCAGCATGTAAAGCAGCATGTAATGCAGCATGTAAAGCAGCATGTAATGCAGCATGTAAAGCAGCATGTAATGCAGCATGTAAAGCAGCATGTAAAGCAGCATGTAAAGCAGCATGTAAAGCAGCATGTAAAGCAGCATGTAAAGCAGCATGTAATGCAGCATGTAAAGCAGCATGTAATGCAGCATGTAAAGCAGCATGTAAAGCAGCATGTAAAGCAGCATGTAATGCAGCATGCAAAAGCAGCATGTAATGCAGCATGTAAAGCAGCATGTAATGCAGCATGTAATGCAGCATGTAATGCAGCATGCAATGCAGCATGTAGAGCACCATGTAGAGCAGCATGTAAAGCAGCATGTAAAGCAGCATGTAATGCAGCATGTAAAGCAGCATGTAATGCAGCATGTAAAGCAGCATGTAATGCAGCATCTAAAGGAGCATGTCATGCAGCATGTAGAGCAGCATGTAGAGCAGCATGTAAAGCAGCATGTAAAGCAGCATGTAAAGCAGCATGTAATGCAGCATGCAAAAGCAGCATGTAATGCAGCATGTAAAGCAGCATGTAATGCAGCATGCAATGCAGCATGTAGAGCAGCATGTAGAGCAGCATGTAAAGCAGCATGTAAAGCAGCATGTAATGCAGCATGTAATGCAGCATGTTATGCAGCATGTAAAGCAGCATGTAAAGCAGCATGTAACGCAGCATGTAATGCAGCATGTAACGCAGCATGTAATGCAGCATGTAATGCAGCATGTAACGCAGCATGTAAAGCAGCATGTAATGGAGCATGTTATACAGAGATTTTTAGAATTCTAAAAAATCCCTGAGATAGATTCCTCCAGCAGAGAGATCACTGCGTCCCTGCTGGGTAGACAAGAGGGGAGTGGTGAGAGAGATGAGGAGAAAGGGTTGAGAGGGGATGAAACAGGTGTTGCACTGCGACGAGTGGCTTGAAATGCTTTTACAGAGATGGTGGAGATTCCCCAGCACAGAGATCTCTGCATCCGCTTTCCAATACGAGGAACATGCATGGACACACATGCATGGACACAGCTTTTGAGTCGACTCAAAAGCAGAGGAACATGCATGCACACACAAAAATGTCAGGAAACATGAACGCACACGTACACATGTCAGGAACATGCATGCACACATACATAAGCACAGGAACATGCATACGTATTAGAGCATGCACAGGCATGAAACGTTTTTTGCACACTTTCCAGCTCAGCACACTGATCGCACCCCGATCGCACACCGACCGTACACGGATCGCACCCCGATCACACACCGATCGCACACCGATCGCACACCGATCGCACACCGATCGCACACCGATCGCACACCGATCGCACACCGATCGCACACCGATCGCACACCGATCGCACACCGATCGCACACTGACTGCACACTGATCGAACGTGATTTTTGAGTCGTCTCAAGAATGCTACCAATGCGCCCATCATGCTTTTGAGGCGCCTCAAAAGCATTCATGCCGCACCTCTCCCTCCTCTATCGCGCATCTCCCTCCTCTATCGCACATCTCCCTCCTCTATCGCACATCTCCCTCCTCTATCGCACATCTCCCTCCTCTATCGCACATCTCCCTCCTCTATCGCACATCTCCCTCCTCTATCGCACATCTCCCTCCTCTATCGCACATCTCCCTCCTCTATCGCACCTCTCCCTCCTCTATCGCACATCTCCCTCCTCTATCGCACATCTCCCTCCTCTATCGCACATCTCCCTCCTCTATCGCACATCTCCCTCCTCTATCGCACCTCTCCCTCCTCTATCGCACATCTCCCTCCTCTATCACACATCTCCCTCCTCTATCGCACCTCTCCCTCCTCTATCGCACATCTCCCTCCTCTATCGCACATCTCCCTCCTCTATCGCACATCTCCCTCCTCTGTCGCACATCTCCCTCCTCTATCGCACCTCTCCCTCCTCTATCGCACCTCTCCCTCCTCTATCGCACCTCTCCCTCCTCTGTCGCACCTCTCCATACAGAATGGTCCCTTTCTGCAGCACATGCGTATTAGAGAGCATGCAAAGCCATTGAACGATTGGTGCACAATCTCCAGCGCAGCGCACAGATCAAATGCCAGCAGTAAGTCTTGCCTGCAGGCAGTAAGTCTTGCCAGCAGGCAGTGAGTCTTGCCAGCAGACAGTAAGTCTTGCCTGCAGGCAGTGAGTCTTGCCTGCAGGCAGCACGGGTCGTGCAGGCAGCAATCCATCCATCCCTGGTCGAGCTCCCTTTGAGTCGACTCAAAAGCAATCTCCAGCGCGTGCTACCTGATCCAGCGACCCTCTTTCACTCCCTTTGGAAGTGGCAACCGTCCCTTCCAAATGTCCTCCCCTCTTTCACTCCCCCCCTCTCTCTTTCTTGTCAATGGATCGCTGAGTTTCCCCCTCCTACCTACCTACCTACCTTCCTTCTGCAGCGAGAAAAATCTCCCTGTCAAAGTAACCTGCTGATTCCCCCCCCTCCTTTTTGAGAATTCTCAAGAGCGATAAAATTCTTCCTGTCAAAGTAACCTGCTGATTTCCCCCCCCCTCCACCTACGTACCTACTGTAGCTGACCAATCCCCCGTGAGGAGTTCATTTTTGAGGCGCCTAAAAAAGAGTCTCCTGCATGGCAGAACCATCCTCACTTCCTATTTTTGAGACGCCTAAAAAATCGCCTGAATTTTTTTGAGGCGCCTCAAAAGCAGAAACCATCCTCACTTCCAAATGCCCTCTCCCTTCCCTCTCACTCGCACGGAGAGCCAAAGTTTCTGTTTATCGCCCCTGCTGACCTGTTGTGGCGAGACCTTTCAAATGCCCCCTTTTCCTCCTCCCTTTTCTCTCCCCCTTTCTCTCACACAAGGTAGCCGCAGTAACACGTGATCAGCAGGTGAGTGTTCTCCCCCCCCCATCCTACTTGCCTGCTGCAAGTGAATTTTGAGAACACCTACCTGCTGAATTGCAGCTATCCAAGTGCTCGTTCTCCCTCTCGATGGCTTCGCACTGCTCTTCCAGGCCCTGGCACGGCATGGTGTCGCACGGCACGGCAACGCATGCCACGGCATGGCATGGCACGGAACGACACGGCACAGCATGGCACGGCATGGCATGGCATGGCACAAGTAGCCAGTACCTGCCTCGTTGCCCCTCACCTGCTGAATTGCAGCGATCCTCCCTTCCAGCTGCGCGTTCTCCCTCTCGATGGCTTCGCACTGCTCTTCCAGGCCCTGGCATGGATGGCAGGGCGTGGCATGGTGTGGGTAGCAGGTTTTGGAAAAGTATGGTAGGCTATTTTATAGTATAAAATGGGATACTCTGGTGTAGTATGGGACGGGCGGCATGGCATAAGCGTTGGAGGGATGAGAATCGGGTGAAGAAACATGGAAGTTTAAGCGGTTATGGCACAGCCACCCGAACGGATTGACAATCACCACCACTAGGACCACCAGCATGAGCATGGGGCATGAATCATGTGTCATGGGGCATGGGTCATGGGTCATGAGTCATGGGTCATGGGTCATAAGTCATGGGTCATGGGTCATGGGAATGAGCATGAGGCATGAGTCATGAGCCATGAGGCATGACAATGACCATACCTCCATGCGATGCCTCTTCCTCTCTCTTGCCTGTTGCGCGTTCACTCTGTTCCGCAACAACCTGCTCCCCCAGAGGCCCCAACAAACAAACACAAGCACAATAAAGGATGAAGCAACCACAAGCACAATAAAGGATGAAACAAACACAAGCACAATAAAGGTTGAAACAACCACAAGCACAATAAAGGATGAAGCAACCACAAGCACAATAAAGGATGAAGCAACCACAAGCACAATAAAGGATGAAGCAACCACAAGCCCCTACATGCTCCTCACGTTCCCCTGACGGTCTCTCAGCACCATGAGCATTACGGCTCTCACCTTTTATTTCGTCTCGAGTCATCACCATTGGCCAGCGTCTCATCCACATGCTCCCCCAACACCCGCACTTCCTGTCTCTCCAACCCCACTGCCCTTGCTTTTGAGGCGCCTCAAAAAAATTAATTACAGCTCTCACCTTTTATTTCGTCTCGAATCATCATCCTTGGTAAGCAGCGTCACATCCACATGCTCCCCCAAAGCCCGCACTTCCTGTCTCTCCAACCCCACTGCCCTTGCTTTTGAGGCGCCTCAAAAAAATTAATTACAGCTCTCACCTTTTATTTCGTCTCGAATCATCATCCTTGGTAAGCAGCGTCACATCCACATGCTCCCCCAAAGCCCGCACTTCCTGTCTCTCCAACCCCACTGCCCTTGCTTTTGAGGCGCCTCAAAAAAATTAATTACAGCTCTCACCTTTTATTTCGTCTCGAATCATCATCCTTGGTAAGCAGCGTCACATCCACATGCTCCCCCAAAGCCCGCACTTCCTGTCTCTCCAACCCCACTGCCCTTGGATGCGCCTCACTTCCCCCAGACATCCCGAACCCTCCAAAATAGGGCACTGGGGTTGGGCTTTCAGTCGCCCTTGCCAAAGCCCCTAGACGCCTTTCACACCCCCCTGACTTCCCTGACCCCCCTTGCGCCCCCAACCCTCTTTCCTGCCCTAACGCCTCTTCCTCCCCCAGTGCCTCATGCACCAGCCCTAACACAGCCACTGTTCCTGCCACCGCCCCTTCCTCCGCCGCTCCTCCTCCCCCTGCCTCTCCTATTGCTCCTGCCACTGCTGCTCCCCCTGCCCCTCCCGGTGCTCCTGCTACGTGGCTGGTTATGATTTGCCGCCCTGCTGTGGCCAGGCGACAGCTGCTGCTGCTGCTGCTGGTGTTAGAGCCGGTAGCAGGCGCCAAACGCCTGGCACCCTTAGGAGAGAACATTGGTTTTTGGGTCGAAATTGGGCTAAGGGAAAAGACTGGCCTAGGGGATAAAATGGGCCCAGGGGGTAAGATTGGTCTTGGGGATAGGAGAGGTCGTGGTGATAGGAGTGGTTTTATGGAGTGGTTGAGACTCCTAAATCCTAGAGGTATGTCGGCTGCTGTGATCTGTACCCCCCCTCCTGAGATCCCTGCTGCTGCCAAGCTTCCTGCATCTCCTGGCTTACCCTCTCCGGCCCTGGAGCTCCTTGGCACCCTTCCTATCGCCTCCCTTTCCGCCTCCCTTTCCGCCTCCCTTGCTGCTGCTGCCAAGCTTCCTGCATCTCCTGGCTTATCTGCTCCAGTCCTGGAGCTCCTTGGCACCCTTCCTGTGACTGCAAAAGCACCTGAAGAATCACCTGCACTCCTCAAGTCACCTGACACATTGCCTGGAAAATTGCCTGACGCGTTGCCTGACACATGGCCTGACACATGGCCTGACACATGACCTGACACATGGCCTGATACATTCCCTGACACAAGGCCTGCCACATGGCCTGACACAAGGCCTGACACAAGGCCTGACACAAGGTCTGCCACATGGCCTGCGCTTTCCAGGTCCCAACCTGAGACATCCGAGCCACACACCGACCCTCTTTCTTGCCTCGGAGTTGCCTCTCCCCCCTTCCCCCCCGCTCCTCCTGCTAGAGCTGTTGCCAGTACTGCTGCTGGCACCGCTGGTGGCACTGCTGTTATTGACCCAGGCTCTTGTATTGGCGATCCTTGTAACCCTCCAACGGGTAACCTTCCCACTTGTAACTGTCCACCTGGTGACAGCCCGCTTGGGAACAAGCTACCTTGTAACAGCCCACCTTGGAACAACCCACCCTGTAACAATGCATCTTGTAACAACCCGCCTTGTAACAACCCGCCTTGTAACAACCCACCTGGTAACAACCCACTTGGTAACCCGCCACCTGGCATCGGCCCATTTAGTGGCTGAAACGACCATGGGGCGTTCTGGGACTGCCCAGTGGCTGTCTGTATCATGTGATTCTGATTCTGATGCCTACTTGTCAGAAATGATTTTTTACAAGCCTCAAGAAAAGGGGCGTTCTGGGACTGCCCAGAGGATGTCTGTATCATGGAATTCAGATTCCGAGGCCTCAGATTCTGAGGCGTACTTGCTGGGAAACTGGTCAAAGGTGGAAGCTGATTGGCCGTCGGGCGGAGGGGTGGCTTAAAAGGGAGGTGTGACTCTATCAAAGGCTGCGAAACCGGCAGTTGGAGTGCCCCACCGTTTTGCGTGCCTCCAAATCTTGACTCAAACGGGAGGTGTGGCTGTATCGAAGGCTGCGATAATTGCAGTTGAGTCGTGGCCATCCCCGAGCTTGTGATTGGCCTGGCCGTGCCGTACCGATTCTGGAAGGAAGCAGCTGCTGGAAGTCCTGTATAGGGAGTGAGTATGGTGAAGGGAAAGGCAAAAGAGAGTCTAGAACTTAGTATCAAGGTTAGCGTGACAAAAGAGAGAGACAGAGGAAGAGAGGGGGTAGGTACATTGACAATAGATGGACGGAACAACGGACGTGTGGACGGTTGGATGGATGGATGGATGGATGGATGGATGGATGGATGGATGGATGGATGGATGGATGGATGGATGGATGGATGGATGGATGGATGGATGGATGGATGGATGGATGGATGGATGGATGGATGGATGGATGGATGGATGGATGGATGGATGGATGGATGGATGGATGGATGATGGATGGATGGATGGATGGATGGATGGATGGATGGATGGATGGATGGATGGATGGATGGATGGATGGGGATGGATGGATGGATGGATGGATGGATGGATGGATGGATGGATGGATGGATGGATGGATGGATGGATGGATGGATGGATGGATGGATGGATGGATGGATGGATGGATGGATGGATGGATGGATGGATGGAGGGAGGGAGGGAGGGAGGGAGGGAGGGATGGATGGACGGATGGATGGATGGATGGATAATGGACGGACGGACGGATGGATGGATGGATGGATGGATGGATGGATGGATGGATGGATGGATGGATGGATGGATGGATGGATGGATGGATGGATGGATGGATGGATGGATGGATGGATGGATGGATGGATGGATGGATGGATGGATGGATGGATGGACGGATGGATGGATGGATGGACGGACGGATGGATGGACAGACGGATGGATGGATGGATGGATGTACATGGATATATCTGTGCAAAATTATAGCGTGACAGACATGTAGGGGAGGCAGGGTGGTGAAAGGTACGTCGAAGTAATATAAGGGTTGGATAATAATTTCAATCTTTTGAATCGGCTAACAATAATTTCACTGGTGACCTGTTGGATGAAGCAAGTCAGGTGTGCTTGTTTTCGGATGAGAAGTTCTTGGTACAGCTTGGCCAGGAGTATCACTCGTCGTAGCAGGCCCCATAAAAACACAGCCCCATGCTTTGTTCCTGGATGGAGGGAGTTGCAACAAAATACCAATGAAAGCTGATTAAGATTCAAGGTTTCATAGAAAATAAAAAACTATGTTTGAGCGCGTCGGAGATGGACGGGCACAATGTCATCACATGTCACAATCGTAACAGAAAGTAAGTCATATCATTTCTAGACTGTAGAATATCAGCATAGCGGAACGTACCTTGAGACGGGGATCTGGTGCCCTTGGTGCGGAAACCCTTGGCTGGCTAGGGTTTCAAAATCCTCCGCATACTGCCTCGCCGTTGACACATCTCTACTAAAACCTCCCCCCTCGCGCTGGTTTCGTAGCCCTAGCCGCTGCTGTTGCTCTGCCTGGTGCGCCTGCTGCGGCCCTTGGGCTTGCCTCATATCCTGGTTTACCGCAAACTGGTTGGCGGCGGCTGATTGGATCGTCGATGGAGCTAACTGTCCTGCCGCGTAGTTCGGTGGTCCCCCGGAGACTGCATGCGCCGTGATTGCGCCGCGGTCTGCGGATGGCGGCGGCGCATTCCTTCCGCCGCCGTCGCTTCTGTCCCGTGCCGCGACGGAGGCGTCCAGTCGCATGCGGTTCGCATGTCGCTGCAGGAGAATGCTCGCGAGCAGGCTGTCGTTGCTGCGACTCTGATTGCGACCCCTCTGACTCTGGTTTTTAGTATTCTGACTCGGATTCAAGCTCGGACTTCCACTGCCGGTCGGATCTAGGCCGCTCATTCCGCCGCAAATCTCTGACGTAAGCCGTACGTTCCAGGAGGTTGTTACTGTATGACGAGGAGTAGTAACCCTACTAGACTTTGCCGATGGCCCTACTAAACTCAGCGCTGCCTGAAATGCTCCCTTCCTGACTCTGAGAGGTACTATACCAGAGCCGTCGAGCTCCTTCGTCGTTTGCAGCGTTGTCGGTAGTACCAGTTCTACTACCTAGGGTGTTGACAGACCTAATACTACTTGTCGGTACTACTACTAGGGCGTATGACGGCAGCGGCGATGCTCGACGGAATAACTGTTCCACGCCCGCTAGTGCGATAATCGCTACTCCTGGCGCCACCAGTATGGGCCGACCGCAACCTAGTAGTCGAATTCTTGAACGACTCCATGTCTAACCAGCACGGACATTAAAAGTGTCACACTTCACCATCCTCATACTGTTACCGTGACACCAGCCCGCGGTACCAGCTCGTCGCATCACGTCGCATCTCGTCGCATCACGTCGCATCCCACCGCCGCATCACGTCGCCATCGCCGCATCACGTCGCATCGCCTCGCATCGCATCTATCAGCAACGGCTGCTCATTACTACAGCACATCACATCCCATCGCCGCTATCGGCGTCGCTTGCTCGGGGGTGCCCTTACTATGGGCTATCATGTCGAGCCCTCAAGCCCTCAATCCCGTCATGGTTCAGCGAACACCGCCTGGCAGCGGTTCGCATCACATGCACCGGATCGGAGCTACTTCGCGGCCAAAGCCGTGAGTCTCCTGAGGAGGGGGGTGCTCAGCTCAGCATGGAGCTTGGAGTTTGTTGTCCGCCAAAGAGCGACGTCACACTGCACTGGCGTTACTGTACCCCCTCCGCTTTCCTGTCGTCAGCGTGAACAAATCGCTCCGCATTCCAAATCCCGCGTTTCCGATCCCTCAGGAAACCACTCGACCACGTCGGCGGGAGGGAGCTGGGCTGGGAGTCCCACCTGCGCGGCGGCGGCTGAAGTCAGTGCGCGGCACGGCGGCTCCGCCGAGTCGAAAGCATGCCGCAGAGAAACTCCAAGCCCAACAACCCCCGACGCTGGGAAAGTGTAGGAATCCCCACTTTTTCCTCTCGCTTCTCGTCGATTGCGCAGGCGTGGACTGGTTGGCGGGTCGAAGGAGTACAAACTCGCCGCTATTGTTGGTGCCTGTGTTAGGATGCTAGCGAGAAAGGTGATTCATAAAACAAGTCACAAGCCTTGCGGGGGCGGGCTGCCTGGGTGCAGCGCATCTGTTACAAGCACGCGTGGCGAAAATACGCGTTTTTGAGATGGGAAATTTGGAGGCTCTAACGGGTGATTGCGCGTGGAAGTCGAATCGAAGCAAGCACGCCTGGCTAGGAAATTGGATTTGCACGAAGTACGGAAGCAAATGTGCGCGAACTCGCCGCGGTCATCGGACTTGTACAAATCCGACACAGACTGGCAGTGTCTGGCTGTAAGCGTTGTTTCTTTCCCGTGAGTGACGAGGGCCATGACCGCGGAATAGAGTGGCACGGGAAGGCAACAGAATTTCGACTTCCGAGTCGGCCCGGGGATGGCGGGCCGCGCGGAAGCAATGACAAATGCAATGATGCTCCAGGCTGGTGTGGACAGAGGAGACATGAAGCAAAGCGAGTGGCATGTCGTATTGTACAGTAACCACAAAATACAGTCTGGGCGGCTTTCAGGTCTTTTGCAGAATGTTGCGAAGCAGCCTATCATGCAGCTGTTGGATGGTTGAGGAGCAGGGTCTATTTTTCAAGAAATGCTGCCCTGAATTTGAGTCAAAACCCTCGGCCTTGGATCTTCCCGCTAAACCCTCGGGTCTAACACTCGCTGCGGAATTTCCCTCACCACAGAAACTCTCACGAGCGAAAACTTCCAGAACTTCCATTCTGGAAGGAATTGGTGTCAAACATTCGAACTTGGAACCCCAATTTGCACACCTAAGTGGTGTGGAAGATGCTAAGTTGTGGCTGTTATGCCACACCGTGGGCGTGGTTGTGAAGGCAGAAGTGGAGGGATCCTATGACAGAACCTGAATATGTAGGCAATTTGTGCCATTAACCGTAGCTCGGTGGGAGTGAAGCTGATGACGAGCGTACGAAATCCAAGGAGTTCAGCATGCCAAATCCAGCCCCCCAACCCCCCCCCTAAATACGGCAATCCAAACCCCCCACCGCCCGGCACTTACGTAATGGATCCCACACAATCACCGCATCTCATCACTGGAGCTGGGATTTCTGGAAACCGAGGGCACTATTTTTCATGGTCCAAATCACGAAGTTCGTGACACCCACATCCACTGCAGCGTGTGCCACGAGCGTGTGAAATCAATTTGGGAATTGGTGACATGACGGTCATCGAGATTCGAGAAGTCCTCCTTCCGAGGGCCACGAGTTGGCAATGGGCCACCCAGCCCCACCTGCCAACCAGTTTTGCGACTCGCTGTAAAACCTTCGGTCGTCACTGGGAAGCTGAGGTCAGCCAATGGGGAAGGAGTAGGACGTGTCATTCTAGGTGACACATGCGTGGCGGCCTCTCATTCGCTCACCGACACGACTGAATGCCAAAATGCATTTAGGCAGATCTGCTGCCACGAAGGTCATTCGAGGATTCGCTTAGCAGTACACGGGAACAGATTATACTGAACGAAATGTTAGTGTATAGCTCAAAGCACGAAAGAAAAGGAACAACAATTCCAAATAGCAACTGCTGCTTAACCTACGATCTCCTCTCAATCAAACCCTTGCTTCTTCCCCCTCTTGCTCCTCTTCCTCCTCTTCCAAAGCATCCCTAAACAGCAACTGGAAAACAGGCACCAGCTCAGGCAGCTTGGGCAGATCACAGAAATTAACCGACATCAAATCGAACGCAATCGCCGCACTCCCACTCTCACCGTCCTCCACATCCCCACCGTCCGCGCTTCCATTCCCTCTTCCACCGCCCCTCTTCTTATTCTTCACCGGGGGGGCAAGGCGGGGGATCTTGGGGTACCGTTGGCTGAAATGCGTGAGAATGGTGCGATATGCGGGGGCAGATGCTCCCACCTGCACCGCCTCACTTGTGGTGCTGTGCCTTCGGGCTATGGCCTCATGCTGCAAATCATCCTCAAAGGTTGCCTGTTGAGGGGGGGATGGGAATGCAGAAGTACCAGGGGGGAAGTGGTGAGGGGCGAGCGGAAGGGCCGGATGCAGCCACCTCAACCGCCGCACTTGTGGTGCTGTGCCTTTGGGCTGTGGTCTCACGTTGCAAGTCATCCTCAAACGTCGCCTGCAAGTGTGGGAAGGAGAGTGAGGGGAGGGGATGGGGAAGGGATGGAAAGGCGAGAGGAGGAGGAATATACCCGTGGCCCTCTCCTCTACTGCCTCAACTTGTGGCTTTTGAGTCGACTCGAAAGGCGAGAGGAGGAATATACCCGTGGCCCTCTACTGCCTCAACTTGTGGCTTTTGAGTCGACTTGAAAGGCGAGACGAGGAGGAATATACCCGTGGCCCTCTCCTCTATACTCGAATATACCATCCCCTCAATTTGTGCTGCTGTGGCTCTCTCCTCTACTGCCTCAACTTGTGCTGCTGTGGCTCTCTCCTCTACTGCCTCAACTTGTGCTGCTGTGGCTCTCTCCTCTACTGCCTCAACTTGTGCTGCTGTGGCTCTCTCCTCTACTGCCTCAACTTGTGCTGCTGTGGCTCTCTCCTCTACTGCCTCAACTTGTGCTGCTGTGGCTCTCTCCTCTACTGCCTCAACTTGTGGAGCTGTTGCGCCGCGCTATGGCCTTATGTAATAGATCAACCTCAAAGATTACCTGTGAGGGGGAAATAATGCGGGTGGAAGGAGGGGGGATAAGAGGAGGGAGATGCGAAGGAGGAAAGGAGGGGAGGACAGAGGAGGAAGGTGATTATAAGGAGAAAAGATCCTCATGGTGTAACATTTGTTTCTGTAGCTCGTGTGTAAAAAACAAAAACGCAACACCTTGTGATTATATATCCAATCTCCCTACTTCGTGAAAGAGCACTGTAGCACCTCGACTTGCCTCCCTCACTGTATCACACAGTCTAGTATCACCCGAATGCACCAGCTTCCAAGAACCTTCCTCCTCACTCCTCCTCTCCTCCACACCACCCTCCCTCTTCCCCTCGAACCCCCCCTCTTCCCCCCCCTTCTCTCCCCCTCACCTGCCCCTCCAGCACCACAGCAACGCCTGGGGGCAGTGCACCACACCACAGGCACACTCTCCAGCCCAGCGTAGATGGCACCTCCCCCATGTCTTACCTCATGAATGAGCACTGTAGCTCCTCGACTCGCCACCCTCACAGTGTCACACGGCCTAGTATCACCAGAATACACAAGCTTCCAAGAATCTTCCTCCCCACTTCCCCTGTCCACACTCCCCAATCCCCCCCGCACCCTCCCCTCCAGCACCACGGCAAACGCCTGGGGGCAGTGCACCACAGGCACACTCTCCAGCCTGCTCAGCCCCAGCGCAGATAGCACCTCCCCCAGCTGCCGCCTGCCTGGCTCGTCCAGGCCCCCGTCTTCCAGGTGAAACCCCGTCTTGAGCCAGAAGGGACGCAGCCCCTTCCTGTCTCTCTCTCCACCCTCCCCCGCTGGTTCAGGCCTCCGTTGCTGCTGCTGCTGCTGCTGCTGCTGCTGAGATTGGGTGGCCTTTTGCCAGATGAGCCCGCATTGGTCCCTCCCGTCGTCACTCTCCTCCATCCCCCCATCCTCCTCCCTTGGAGCACCACCACTTTGTCTTCTTGCCCCTCCTGCTCCTCCTGCTTCTTCCCTTCCTCCTCCTCCTCCTCCTCCTCCTGCTGCTGCTTTAGCAGCAAGAGCAGCGGCGTCTCTTGTCGTCTGGCTACAGTCCAAAAACGTCAAGTGGAGGCTCTCAAACGTCTGATACGCCTCCAGATACCGCCGAAGCTGCTTCGGCCCGATCACCAGAACGGGCGGCACGGGCACTGTAGCGTCCTTGTCCTGTTCCTCAGATACCATCTTCTCAGGCAGAGCCTGAGTTCCTGCCCCAGAACCTGCCCGTTCAGCTGCCCGCTGAGCTGCCCGGCGCAAAAGAATGTCTCTCCGGGCAGCGAGAATTCTGACCAGCCCGGTGTGGTGGTCGGCGTGAATGTGGGAGATCCAAATACACTTCAACCCCGCTATAATGTCCTCTGCCTTTTCTGGACCAAACCTGAACTTAGGAGATTCAGCAAGTTTGAGGAAACAGGAATCATTTCGGGGGGGGGGGGGGGGGGAATGGAGATAAGTTTAAATACCAGAATCATCCCCGCTGCGCGGTTGAATCTGTGCGAGGCCTTGCATGCATTCCCATCGTGCCAAAATCCCTCCCCGCAGTCCAGAATCATTCCTCTGTGGTCGAATAGGTGCACCGTGCACGTAGTAGACTCATTGCCGCCGCCAGAGAGCATTCAGGAACAAGCAAGGCTGTGTTAGGTTATAGGTTTAAAAGAATTCTCAAAAGCCTAACACAGCCTCTCTTGCCCCTGTGGTTGACTAGGTGCACACATACTCATTGCCCTATTCAAGAACAATAGGTGTACTTGAGACCGCATTCAAGAACAAGCATACTCTCACCGTCTGGTTAGTTGCGCGTAGCTCCCTTCCCCACAATCCAGAATCATCCCTCCATAATCGAATCTATGCAGATAGATGCCGCTGAGATTGCGGTATTTGGACGGCTGGGATGACCCCGTGCCCAGAAACACCACTTCCACCTCCTCCCTACCCATGCCACGCATGTACGCAGGGGCCTCTTCGGACACACATGAGCTTTCATCCTCCTTGTAAGCGCTCCCTGTAAGAGTGCCTGTGCCTGTGACCTCTGCGCCCACTGTGTCTTTCTTCCTCCTCCTCTCCTCACTCCTCCCCTTCTCCAACCCTTGCACCTTACTTGCTCCCTCTCCTCCTCCCCCTCCTCCGATTCCCATTTGATCCTCCCCACTCCTCTCCCCCTCTCCCTCCGCCTCCTCCTTCTTCTCCCCCTCTTGCTCCGGTCCTTTCAGCCCCCAATCCGCAGCCACCTTCCTGGAAGCTTCCTTCAGCTCCGGAATGCTCCGCAGCAGGTGGTGAACAGTATTTTGTGCGTTAAAAACGGGCGGCACTGCTGATGCGTCGGCTCCGAGAATAGGAGCACCCCTAAGGTTGAACTGTGTGTGGTTGGAGGGTGGGGATGAGTGTGTGTGGGGGGGGGGGGAGAGATGAGGGGGGTCCAGGGAAACGGGCAGCACTGCTGGTGCGTCGACTCCCAATATGGGAGCACCCCTAAGGTTGAGCAGATGGGGAGGGTAGTCGTGAGGAGGGTGGGGAAGAGGGGAGGGGAAGGAGGGTAGGATTGGGAAGGGTGGGGACGGGCAGCAGGTGGTGAACCGTGCTTTTAGCGTTGAAAACGGGCGGAACTGCTTCCTGCTGATGCGTCGACTCCCAATGTGGGGCGCCTCGCAGGTTGAACTGTAGAGGGGGGCGAGGAGGGACGGAAGGGGGGGTTGGGTTGGGTTGGGGGGGTGTTTCAATCTCTTCCAGAAACTGTATTAGGAACTGATCCTTGGACGTCTTCCAGTGAGTGCGGCGTCAGTAGACAGGTTAGCAAGTAGGAAAAAACAGTTAACTGTAAAAGTGCTTATGTAAACGTGAGTTCGGAGTAGTCGGAGCTCTTCCCTTAAAAACTGTAATAGAAACTGTATTAGAAACACTGCGCATGGCATCTTACTCAAGTGGCAAAAAAAATTGACGTGCAAGAAGCCTGTTGGACACCCTTGAAGCGAGGCAAGAATTTCGAAAAGCAAAAGCACTGACCTTGAGATTGGCAATTGCGACACGGCCCATTAGAGGAGCATCCATGGCCTGGGATGCTCTCTCCCAATGGGCAACGGGGAGCAAACTGGCTTCCCCCATCCTCCCCATGCCCCCCATCCCCCCCATCCCTCCCATCCCCCCGCTCCGACCCCCTCCCCCCTCTCCCCCCTCCTCCCTCCCCCCTGCATCCCACCCACTGACCTTGAGAAGGTTCTTGGCGATTACGACAGGGCCCATTGGAAGACCATCCACAGGCTGGAGAGAGCAAGGGGTGGGGGGGATGGGGGGATGGGGGGATGGGGGGAATGCGGAATGCGGAATGGAGTAGAGGAAGAGCGAGGGGGGGAAGCGAGGGGGGGAAGCGAGGGGGGGAAGAGCGAGCGATTACGATAGGGCCCATTGGGAGACCATACAATGCCTAGAGAGAGAGGAGGGAAGAGGGGGGGTGGGGGGAATAGGGTAAAGGAAGACGGAGAGGAGGACAGGGGAGGAAGTCGGAGAGGAGAGGCGAGGAAAGCAGCATAACCTGGTTGGCATTTCGGCTCGAGACACCCACCTTGAGACATCTTTAGAGCCGTCTCCAAAGGCGTCTCAAGACACCCACCTTGAGACATCTTTAGAGCCGTCTCCAAAGGCGTCTCAAGACACCCACCTTGAGACATCTTTTGAGCCGTCTCCAAAGGCGTCTGGAGACACCCACCTCGAGACATCTTTTGAGCCGTCTCCAAAGGCGTCTCGAGACACCCACCTTGAGACATCTTTTGAGCCGTCTCCAAAGGCGTCTAGAGACACCCACCTTGAGACATCTTTTGAGCCGTCTCCAAAGGCGTCTCGAGACACCCACCTTGAGACATCTTTTGAGCCGTCTCCAAAGGCGTCTCGAGACACCCACCTTGAGACATCTTTTGAGCCGTCTCCAAAGGCGTCTCGAGACACCCACCTTGAGACATCTTTTGAGCCGTCTCCAAAGGCGTCTCGAGACACCCACCTTGAGACACCTTTTGAGCCGTCTCCAAAGGCGTCTCGAGACACCCACCTTGAGACATCTTTTGAGCCGTCTCCAAAGGCGTCTCGAGACACCCACCTTGAGACACCTTTTGAGCCATCTCCAAAGGCGTCTCGAGACACCCACCTTGAGACATCTTTTGAGCCGTCTCCAAAGGCGTCTCGAGACACCCACCTTGAGACATCTTTTGAGCCGTCTCCAAAGGCGTCTCGAGACACCCACCTTGAGACACCTTTTGAGCCATCTCCAAAGGCGTCTCGAGACACCCACCTTGAGACATCTTTTGAGCCGTCTCCAAAGGCGTCTCGAGACACCCACCTTGAGACATCTTTTGAGCCGTCTCCAAAGGCGTCTCGAGAGACCCACCTTGAGACATCTTTTGAGCCGTCTCCAAAGGCGTCTCGAGAGACCCACCTTGAGACCATAGCCTCGTGCCTCCACGTGTCGTGCCGATGTGGCTTCCCTCTCTCCCAAAACAACAGACTGCCTTCCGCCCACCTTGAACCCCTCTCAAAGGCATCGCCAGACACGCACCTCCAGGGCATAACCTCGTGCGGAATCATCTTCCCTCTCTCCCAGCACAGCGGGCCGCCCACTATCGTCTTTCTGCTCGTTGTTGTTCTGCTCCTTGGCCAGAGTGTGGTCGTACGGCTCTGGGAAGAGGTGCGGGCACACGTAGTGCAGCTTGGCTGTCAGCGCAGCACTGCCTGCCAGCACAGGGGGGCACTCAAAGGCTCTGGAGGAGGGAAGGGCAGAGAAGGGGTAATGGCACAAGGAAAGAGAGTGGAGTCATGGGACTCAGGAGGAGATGCGAGTACACGTAGTGCAGCTTGGCTGTCAGCGCAGCACTGCCCGCCAGCACAGGGGGGCACTCAAAGGCTCTGGAGGGGGGAAGGGAAGAGAAGGGGTAATGGCACAAGGAAAGAGAGTGGATTCATGGGACTCAGGAGGAGATGCGAGCACACGTAGTGCAGCTTGGCTGTCAGCGTAGCACTGCCAGCTAGGACGGGCGGGCACTCAAAGGCCCCGGGGAATCAAATGGAGGGGAGGAGCGGGGGGGGGGGGGGGGGGAGACGGGTGAGTCAACGCACAGCAGAGGGGAGTGAGTCAACGCACAGCTAAGGGGAGTGAGTCAACGCACAGCAGAGGGGAGTGAGTCAACGCACAGCAGAGGGGAGTGAGTCAACGCACATGTGTGGTATTCTGTCCCAGCACGGCCATCCAGCGCCGGTACTCCTCCTCAGCTTCATTCAACCACCCCCTACCTCTCAACAACCACATGCTACCTTCCCATGTCCCTCAGTCTTAAACTTGCTGCCATCCATGGCCGAGCTGTGTCCTGCCAGCACATGTGTGCTATTCCGTCCCAGCATGCCCATGCCCATGCCCATCGTCCGTCCCAGCATACCCATGCCCATGCCCATGCCCATGCCCATGCCCATGCCCATGCCCATGCCCATGCCCATGCACATGCCCATGCCCTTGCCCATGCCCATGCCCATGCCCATCGTCCGTCCCAGCATGCCCATGCCCATGCCCATGCCCATGCCCATGCCCATGCCCATCGTCCGTCCCAGCATGCCCATGCCCATGCCCATGCCCATGCCCATGCCCATGCCCATGCCCATGCCCATGCCCATGCCCATCGTCCGTCCCAGCATGCCCATGCCCATGCCCATGCCCATGCCCATGCCCATCGTCCGTCCCAGCAGCCCTTGCTCCTCAGCCTCCGCATGCTCATGCTTTCAGCATGCGAGTGGCATTCGCTCCCAGCATGCCCATCCTCCGCCGATAATCCACTCCCTCAACCACCGCCTCTGGCCTCACATGCACTGCCTGCCACTGTCACCTCCCTGCGCTCCCTATCACCTCCCTGCGCTCCCTGTCACCTCCCTGCGCTCCCTGTCACCTCCCTGCGCTCCCTGTCACCTCCCTGCGCTCCCTGTCACCTCCTCCTTACTGCCCCCCATGTCTCCTCTCTCCCCCCAGCAGCAACTCACCTGCCATGCCCGGCCAGCACGTAGGTGGTGTTGGGCCCCAGCAAGCCCAACCACTGCCGGTACTCCTCTGCCCCCCCAACCCCCTAACTGTCAACAACCCCATGATGCTACCTTCCCATGTCACTCAGTCTTACCCTTGCTACCATCCACGGCCGAGCTATGTCCTGCCAGCACATGTGTGCTAGTCCATCCCAGCACGCCCATTCTCCGCCGGTGCTCCTCAGCCTCCACCCTACCTGTCAACAACAACGCCCGTGCCCTGTGCTACCTTCCCGTGTCACTCAGTATTACCCCTGCCGTGCCCTGCCAACACGTGTGTGGTTTTGAGGCGCCTCAAAACTAGAACTCAGTACTACCTTCCGTGCCCTGCTAACACGTGTGTGGTGGTGGTGGGTCCCACCATGCGCCCATCCACTGCCGGTACTCCCCTGCCTCAACCAGCGCCTCAGGACTCACGGGTGCACATGCTGGCACTGCTGGGGTGATGTGTGGAAACAAACAGCAGCTTACCTGCCATGCCCTGCCCTGCCAACACGTGTGTGGTGTTGGGCCCCAGCATGCCCATCCACCGCCGCCGGTACTCGTCTGCCTCAACCACCACCTGTAAGCCTCAACCCTACCTGTCAGCACATGTCACACAATCTCACCTGCCATGCCCAGCTAACACGTGTGTGGTGTTGGGCCCCAGCATGCCCATCCACCGCCGGTACTCGTCTGCCTCAACCACCGCCTCTGGGCTCACATGCACTGCGACCGTCACCTCCTTGGTGCCCCCCTCGTTATTATCACCCTCCGTATTCCCACCACCGCCGCTGCCACTCTCCCTGTTGTGGCGGCTGCTGCAGAAACGCTGGAGCTGGGGCGACTGCAGGAGGGCCTGCGTGTGGCTTGCAGTGGGGCAGTCTATAAGGAGTACAACGGGACCTGGGATGGATGCTCCGAGGACGTCAGATGGATGCACCTGAGAGGAGGGAAGATAGGCATGAGGAGGATAGGGACATAGTTAGAGGAGCAGTCTATAAAGAGTACAACGGGGGCTGGGATCGATTCCCCCGAGGACGTCTGCGGGATGCACCAGAGGGGAGAGCAGGGAGAGAAGCAAAATGTGGGGATCAGGAGCAGCTTGCATGCATACACAAACACACACTCTGAATTAGACATGAACATATCGCATCCCATATCGCATTATCGCATCGCAAATATCTCATTCTTGCGATTGCGATAAAATTTCTCTGGAAACTATATCGCGCGATGCGATGCGATATTTATTGCGCGATAATTTTCATCGCATTTTTACCGCGGCATGTGTCGCGTGATAAAAATGTGATATGCGACATTATAGTATCGCATGCGATATAATTAAAACCCGAGTCTAGAATGGTAGAAAATCATGATTACTGACCTTGAAAACAGTCATGCTCATGTCTACTCTGACCAACATGCCAACATACATCACTCACCAGCCAACACAAGGCCCCCACCATCACAAACTCACCATCTTGTTGCCATCACCAGAACCAAACCAACACTCCCCCCCATCTGCAACCGCCTGTACAAGCGCCCTGGCTGCTGCTCGCTTGGGGTCAAACTTCCCCGCTGCCCTTGGCAGCTCGCACACATACACCATCGACGCCATTCCCTCATGTAGAATTGAGCATTTTACCCGGTCAGGTCCCACGTACCCGACCCGACCCGACATTTTGGCCCCGTCGGGTAATAGGATTTTTACGAATTACCCGGCCGGGTCGGGTCGGGTACTCAGGCCGGGTAATGCATACCCGTTACCCGAGAATTACCCGAAATGTCGGGTAATTTATTACCCGTCGGGTCGCGGGTACCCGACCCGACTTTCGGTTTGTTACTCTGGGTTTGCTGAATTCTACAGCCACCTAGGGTAGGGGTACCCGGGTAATATTACCCGACTTATTAAATGCGGGTCGGGTATACCCGACCCGCCAGACGGTTACCCAATTACCCGGTATTAAAATGTCGGGTCGGGTAACAGACCTCCAAACATTACCCGGAAATTACCCGACCCGACCCGGACCCGATTGCGGGTAGGGCAAAACCGGGTCGGGTCGGGTAATTACCCGGTTTTGCTCATGTCTACCCTCATGCTCTCTCTCACACATACCAACCTACAGCCAGCCAGCATGCATCATTCACCAGCCAACACAAGTCACCCACCGCATACCACTCACCATCTCGCTGGCACTGTCAGAAGCAACGCTCCCTGCCATCTGCAGGCGCCTGTGCTTGGGCCCTGGGCGAAACCCCACAACTGCAGTGCAGTCCTCTTAGGGTCTAGCGCGCACACACACACACTCTCTCCTTCACACACGCAGCCTTTGAAACACACACTCACCAACTTTCTCCCCTCGTCCGAAGCAACCCTCTCCCCCCATCTGTGGTCGCCTTGTACTACTTGGGCCCGGGTCGGATGCCCATCGTGCTGCTACCTACCTCCCCCATCCGAGATCAAAATGCCCTGCTGCTGCAGTGGGTAGCTCGCACACATACACACTCTCTCCCTCACACTTTCCCTCACACACTCACCACCCACCGTGCACCACTCACCATCTTGCTCCCATCATCAGGTCAGACGCAGAGCTCTCTCTCGCATCTGCAGCCACCTGTACTTGGGCCTGGGGTGAATCCCCATGGCTGCTGCTCGCTTGGGGTCAAACTTCCCTGCTGCCCTTGGCAGCCCGCAGCAGACATACACACCCCCTTCAACCACATACCACCGTCCCACACCCTTCACTCACCGTTTTGCTTCCATCGTCAGACGGCACACTCTCCCCCATCTGCAACCTCCGGTACTTGGGCCCGGGACGAATGCCCATGGCTGCTGCTCGCTTGGGGTCAAACTTCCCAGCTGCCGTGGGCAGCTCGCACACATACACGACCGATGCAATTCCCGAAGCTGTTTCCGAAGCTGTTTCCAAAGCTGCCCCCGAAGCTGCTCCCAACGCTACATCTCCTGTCTCCCATCCCATTGCCCCTGTTGCCCCCTGTTGCCCCAGTCTCCCAGCTGCTGTTCTCGCCCGTTTGTCACTGCCCCCTGCCACTTCCCATCCGCTGCTGACGCCAGACGACCCAGGGCTGGGCCGCTTTGCTGACTTAGCTTGTTGCCAGTCTTGCTCTTTAAAAGAGGCTGAAGCATGCTGCGACAGGGTCAGTTCTCTGAGGGACTCCGAAGGTGAGGGGAGGGTTGCGCTGCTGTCGCCAACAACCAGCGGTTTTTCCGCAGAGGGGGACCGCGATGGCTCTAGCAGCACTGCAGTTACTTTCACATCACCATCATGATGGACGATAAATGCACTCTTATCCTCCCTTCCCTGCCCACTCTCCTGCTGCTGCTGTTGCCCCGCTGCTCCCCCTTCTCCCCCCTGCTCCTGCTGCCCCAGCAGCAGCTGCTGTTTCACCTCGTGGTAGGAAGGAGGAAGCGGAGGATGGGGGTACGACGGACGCCCAGGGCTGGTGGTGCCGAAGCTGGAGGTTCGGACCGATGCTGCGCCGACGAAGCATCGCATGGCTGCTGCGAGCCGATGGAGATCCGACGGCCCACAGATGTCCACCTAACGATGGGAAAGGGAAAGGGGGAGAGGGGAAACCGACAACCGACAACCGAAAGGGGGAAAGGGGGAGATTCCAGACAACCGATTACCAGTTGGTGTAACCTGACGGCTCACCAATGCCACCTAAAAATAGACGAGCGTAAGACTTAGAGAGGGTTTTAAAATGGGAAGCACAGGTCCAAACCTACTCACGGTGATGCCAGTCTTGCACGTATTGGCCAGTGTCGGCAGCATGCCTGGCAGGCCCCAAGGCTTTCTATGCCTGACAAACACTCACAATCAAACCTTTAAACCGGATACCACCACTCACCGTGATGCCAGTCTCGCCTGTGTTGGCCAGCGTCAGCAGCATGCCTGGCAGCCCGCCAGCCGTTTCCGTGCAAACGCGGGAGAGAAAGATCTTGTCAATCTGGTGGAATATGGACGGAAAAAGGGGGAAGCGGAAGGGGGGGGGGGGGGAGTGGAGAAGGGAAAGGGTGAGCATGTTTTGAGGCGCCTCAAAAATGGAAATGTGAGCATGTTTTCCGGAAAATCCAAAAGCACGGGACCAGCCAGTAGACGCAACACAGGGAGGGCAGTCAACCCAATGCGATGGTTTCGGTGGGTGTAGTGATAGAAGAATGCATCATCTAAGAGGATATCTGAGCTCAACTATTCTGCTAAACCCGAAAACCTGACCCTTCAATTCTAGACCCCCATTTCTGAGCCCAGCCTTCAGTCTTACAGTCATACGGACCCTAGACCCTGATCCACCCGGGCTAGGCGAACCTCCACCCTGTGCTCTATGCAGAGCTTTTGAAGCCCCTCCCCTCCCCTGCGTAGAACACCAGCCTGAGCCGCTCAAAGAAGCGCAGCACGCAGGGGGAGGCGTCCCTCGTATCCATATCCGTCCGCAGTTCCTGCACTCATATCCCAAGCCCTGAACCCTGACCCTGAATCCTGAACCCTGAACCCTGAACCGTAGTGTGCCTGTGCCAGGCGAATCTTGTGCTCTATGCACGGCCTTTGAAGTCCCTCGCCTGCGTTGAACACCAGGCGCAGCCTTTCAAAGAAGAGCAGCACGCAGGGGGACGTGTCCCTCGTGTCTTCGCCCATCACCGGCGCCTGCATTCAAAGTCTAATCAACCCTAACCCGGAGCCCTAACCCACCTTTGCCAGGCGAATCTTGTGCTCTATGCAGAGCCTTTGAAGCCCCTCGCCCGCGTTGAACACCAGCCTGAGTCGCTCAAAGAAGAGCAGCACGCAGGGAGACGTGTCCCCAGTGTCCATCCCCGTCCCCAGCACCTGCACATACGCCGTCCTGTTCTGCGCTAGCTTCTCCCCTCCCGCTCCCCCTGCTGCCCCCTCCCCGACCCCTCCGCCTCCCCCTCGCCCCCCCCCTTTCTCCCCCCCCCCTCTGTCTCTCTCCTTCCCCTTCCTGCCCTTTCTGCTGCCCTGTAACCCTGCAGCCTCTGCTTTCTCCGCTCTTCCTCCTCCTGCTGCCACGTCAGCACCTTGCCGCCCTCTCGCCCCACCGCCCGCCGTAGCTCCTCGCATCCCGCCCGCCTGTCCCTCCCTGCGCTCCCTTACCGTTCTTTCCGCGTAAAGGCTGACTCGTTTGGAGTATGAGGGTCTTACACCCGGAACCCCTGCACTGCTAAAGCCCTCAGCAGTTGCTACAGCCGGAGACGCTGCTACAGCCTGTGTGCTGAGCCCGCGAGAAAGCAAGAGCTCGTCCGCACTCCACTTGCCCCCGCTCGTTTTCTTTTGTGCCTCCCCAACTGCCGGCGTAGCTGCTGGTATAACTGCTGGTGTACCTTTCACCTCGTCTCGGGCAACTCTTGAACCTAACCCTAACCCTAAGCCTGCTCCTGCCTTCGAGTCTCCTCCTCCGCCCCCTCTTCCCGTTGCCGCTACCTCGAGGGCTAACGGCGTTTTTTCCGCTTCCGGCTTTTCCCCTTCCGCCTGCTTCCGCGGCCGACCGCGCGCCCCCCTTACGCTTCCGGCAGCTGCCGCCTTCCCCGCACCCGAATCCTCGCTATTAGCAGTCTCGTTACTAGACACTCTGCGACCTCGCCCCCCACTCACGCGCTTAGGATTTTCTTGGCTAACGAAAGAATCCAACGCTTTCACCGACTCACTGCCACGTGGGATGACTGAATCGCTGCCACGTGGAACTTCTGCGTCATTGCTAAATCTCACCACGTCATCCGAAGCTCCGTCAGCCCCGCTGGCCGGTTTCGGTGTCCGCGCGCGCCGCTTCCTAACTGTAACCCCTTTCGCCGCAGCGGTTTCTACTGCCGAGGGTTCTACGAGGGATTTTAAGGCGGGGTTTAAGGATGGTTCCTCAGAACTGGCTCCGGCTTCTGGGGTTAATTCCGAAAATACCCGGCCGGCTCTTGCAGGAGTGGGCACACTAGGCGGGTGGCTAGTACAATGCCGCAGCGCGGGAATAAGTAACACTCTACGCGGAACAACTAGCGTCGGGCGAGAAAGCGATCCGTTGACGAGTCCGTCAGATTGCGGCAGTGCGCGGAAGCAAGGTGAAACCGATCTGCTAGATGATCCGTTATGTGATCCGTTTATGGATCCGTTAACCAGTTTATGGGTGCGCCACAGCCGCTGGCGCAGCGCGGAGTGCACGCAGAGGTGCAAATGAACGCGAGTCGCGGCGGTTACAGCGGAGAGCGCCAGAGTCATGACCGGGGCGCGGCCTTAACGAGCTCCGCCAATGGCTTGATCGTGCCAGCTCAGCAATGCCCGCCACTCTCACACATCACATGCTTGATTCACACGCGAAGGACGTGTGAGATGTGGGTCAAACAAAGTTGGAGTTCGTACTTTTAGACAGTTTGAAAACGATTCGGTGGGTTTCAATTATTTAATCCCGTGTTACAGAGTGGTGGCGGTACGATCTTTGACTGAAGATAGGTGAAACTCGAATCAGGTTTTTGGGTTCCTTGAAAGTCCGTTGGAGGTTGATTGGCAGGGACTGCCAGCTTGGGGTTTCTTGGGCTGCACGGGAAGGTGATTTCGTCAGCGAAAGTCAAAATCAACTGTTTTTTGGGATGTGGAGGAACCTATTGCAATCGATCGGACGAAATTTATTTTCATCCTAAATTCTAATAGTGACCCATGCTTTAAGCCAGCTTTTTGTGCACTCAATAACATTCAATGTATACTTAGTAGACATTGTTTTGCTTGTGATTGAACCTACAGATTGAAAACATGTGCACATATTTTCAGCTGCACAAATGACAAACAACCAAGGAACTAATAGAAAACAAATCTTGAAAAATTGTTTCCCACCATGTCCTGTCTTTTTTTTCTTGCTATAAAAAAATACAACCTATCTATCGCTTCCCCAGCGCTAGCATGGGGGGAAGTCAATAGATTAATGACTAAACAACACGATTTGTGAATTCCAAAAAATAGTTTGCACTCCTCACTCTCAAAACGGAATGAATGACAGAGAGAGAGAGAGTACATGTGAATATATCTAACTGTTGTACCCTCTAAGGGGTGACCCTATACAGTCTATGCAAAAATAAGAGATACACATGTTTGACACACCCCCTAGACTGCATAGGGGCAGGTCCTGAACAAGCAGCTCAGGGTGGCACTACTAGTCCAGCCACTGAGACAAGGGTCTAAAGACCAGTCAGAAGGAGTACAGGCAAGGCAAGAACAAGACCAGGGAGGCACTACTAGTCCAGCCACTGGTAGAGGACACAAGTCCAATCTGAGTACATATAGATATATAGGACAGTACAAGGTCAAGGTCCTAGCAAGTGACAGGCTATAGGAACTAGACCGAGCTATCCACAGTGCCGCTGATGATCTTTAGGCGCAAGCGCCTTCGTAAAGATATCAGCCGTGTTGGCACCGGAGGCCAGGTGTACTACGCGAGCCTGGCGGCGCTGCTGTAGCTCGCGCATGAGGAAGTACCGCAGCTGAATATGCTTTGCTCTGCCCTCGAGTCGAGGCTCCTGACACAGGAGGATCATGGCCCTGTTAACAGCGTACAGGACCGGGGCAGAGCTAGGCCGCTCACCTAAGTCAGTGAGCAAGAAAGTCAGCCAGCGGAGCTCCTGTGCCGCCATGGCACCAGCGTAGATCTCGGCCTCACAGCTGGACTGGGCAACAGATGAGGAGCGGGTAGCTCTCCACGAGATGGCACCTGAACCAAGGCTGAAGCAGTAGCCCTGGGAAGACCTGAGTGTCTCAGCGTCGTCCGCCCACGAAGCGTCTGTGTGTCCAGTAAGGACCACTGGCCTGCGTCCTCCTAGCACTAACCCCATGTCCGATGTACTCGCAAGACAACGCAAAACCCTCTTAGCGGCAGACCAGTGCTGCGGTCGGTGTCTGCCAGTGGCCACAAAGCGAGCCAGGATGCTGAGAGGGTATGCGAGATCCGGGCGAGTGCAGTTATCAGGTACATGAGGCAACCCACCAGCTCTGCGTAAGGACCACTGGGCTCTACTGACTCCTCAGGAACTGGGGCGGAGAGCCTGTGGGCTAGAGGCAGAGAGGTGGGCTGTGCAGAGGAGAACTGAAGGCCGAATCTCTGAAGGACCTGGCGCACCAAGTGTGACTGAGTCAAAGTGATGGTGTGCGCTGCTCTATCCCTGGAGATCTGCAAGCCAAGGTAACGGCACAGTTCTCCAAGGTCATTGCAAGTGTGTCTCTTCAGCAGCTCTGCCTTCACGGAGCCCAGTTCGTTCTTGCCTGCTCTGGTAAAGACCAAATCGTCCACGTAGACAATGATGTAGAACGGAGTTTGGCCAGCATGAACCAAGAGTGAGGGGTCTGCCGAGGACGGAAAGAACTGAAGGTCAGCAAGAGTAGCACGCGGCGTGTCTTGCCACTCACAAGGAGCCTACCGCAGGCCGTAGACGGGACGCCGCAGGAGCCACTGGGTCCTAGGAGGGAAGGTGCCAGTAAAGCCCTGAGGGCGATGCAGGTAGACCTGCTCATGTAGGCTGCCCTGAAGGAAGGCACTAGAGAAGTCGAGGGAGTGAAGCTCGTAGTCACGCAGAGCTACTAGGTGTAGCAGAACCCGAAGAGTAGTCATCTTCGGGGTCGGAGCGAAGGTCTAGAAGAAGTCCACCCCCTCACGCTGACTGAAACCTCTAGCCACGTAGCGCGCCTTGAACACAGGCGGCTCTCCAGGAGGGCGCTTCACCTTGAAGAGCCAGCGGCCATCGACTACGTTCACCCCAGGTAGGGGAACTGCGTCGACGAAGGTGCCAGTGGATCTCGAAGATGCCATCTTCTGCTCCATGGCAGCTATCCACTGGGAGGCCCAGTGTCCCGAGGTCTCCTCAGCGTAAGTGCGAGGGGTCGGGATGTCGAAAGCGTCTGGGTCACCCTCAGGGACTAGCAGCATGGAACAGAGATGGGGAGCAGCCTCGGACAGGAAAGCAAGCTCGAACTGGCGGTCCTCCAGGACGTCACTGCCGAGGGCAGGAGCACCCCCGACAGACGAAGGACAGGCAGGGTCAGAGACCAGAGTTGTGGCGTAGTCTAGGAGGCGGGTAGAGGCGAAGTCAGCGACCGCAGCGACAAGGGCGTCAAGACTCGAAACCGGAACGGACGGGTTGATAACAAGAGAGGCAAGGACCTGAGGAACGAGAGGACGGGCGGCACGAAGATAGTCAGACAGAGGGGGGGGAGCAACGACAAGGGAGGACGGAGGAGGGGACGGGAGAAGGGGAGGACGAGACGCGTGGGAACGAAGCAACATAGGGTGCGAGCGCGTGATAGGGGAGACAAGACGAGCACGGGAGGGGCGGCGAGACCAGCCGTGAGACGGAGGAGTCGGGCCAGGAGACAGAGGAGGGGACACAAAGGGAGAGGGAGGGGGAAGACAAGCCGGGGACGAGTCCGGCGGAGGGAACACAGGGCCGTAAACGGAAAGAGGAGGAGACGGGTGGAGAGGAACGGACGCAGGGTCAGGGGACGGAAGGCCGAGCAGGCGAAGGGCAGACACCGGCGGGGACTGCTGCTGCGGCGGCACAACGCGGACACCGAGGCCGCAAGCTGCTCCTCGGGTACCACTGGAAAACTCCACTCCAGCACCCCCAGAAGGAACACTCCCAGGGCCCGAAACCCCTCGTCCACCGGCACCACCCCCAGGGGCACCGGGTCTAGGACCCACTCCATCGCCAGCACCCCTAGAGGCAACGAACGGCTGCTGCGACGGCGTCGGCAGCTACGGGGACGGCGGCGGTGACAGCAGAGGCGACGACGGCTGCAGAGGTGGCAGATGAGGGGACTCCTGGGGAGGGGCAGACGGCGAGGACTGCGCCGCAGGACCACCAGAATCAGAGGACTCCTCGACCGGGACAACCGACGGGAGAGGGGTGACGTGGGACACACCAGAGGGAGCAGGACGGGGAGGGGGAGGGGGGGGGGAGGGACCACCAGGGAAGGAGTAACCAGGAACAGGGGGGGGGTAACCGGGGGACCGCGCTGGGGGAAGCGACGGTAGAAGGAGACGGACTCGTCAAATGTGACGTTGCGAGAGTGAAAGAAGCGGAGAGACGGCGGGTGGTAGAAGTGCCAGTCGGACGCGTCAAGGGGAAAACCTAGGAAGATGAAGGGAAGGGTGCGGGCAGTAAGCTTGTCCGTGCCGGAGGCACGAACGTGGGCAAGGCAGCCCCAGACGTGGAACGCAGACGCGTCACCAGGTGACCCGGTCCAAAGACGGGTCGGCGAAACCTGCGGCTGCTGGGGGTGCGGCCACATGTTAAGCTGGCGAGAAGCGTAGCGCACGGCGAACGGCCACAGAAAATGGGGTGCACCGGCATGGATCATGGAGGTGCGAGCAACCTCCATGACCAATCCGATGCATCGCTTAGTGACCCCATTTTGCTGTGGGGAGTCCGGCAGGGTGAACGTCTGGGTGATGCCCTCCACACGACAAAAGCGACCAAGGACACCGGAAGCAAACTCGCCACCACGGTTTGAGTGAAGGCGCAAGACACGGAGACCTCGGTGGACACGGGCTGAGACAAGCTAGGGGATGAGAGCGTCAGGCACGTCGGCCTTCCGCTCCAGGGGAAAGACTCTGGTGTAGCGAGTGAAGTCGTCGACAAGCACGAGGAAGTAGCGCTCTCGACGCGGCCCATGGACGGGGGCGGGGCCCCAGACGTCCATGTGCAGGGTCTGCAGCGGCGCAGCGGTAGGGGGAAACGAGGAGGAGTGAGGGGCACGGCAAAGCCGACCCTCAACGCAAGGCGTGCAAGGTGGGGCGGGGGAGGAGGGAAAAGCGGGGAGAGAACCAGGGAGACCGAGGACGAGACCGTGCTGGGACATGCCCAATAATACATCAAGAAACCAGGTTTATCCTATCCAAAGGGAATAGACCCTTCTAGAAATAGAATCACCATGCGTATAGCCACGCGAGCCTATTGGCTTTAAGGGATTACGGCAAGATTACGCTAGATATAGCGCGCCAGTACATCCCGAGCCTGGTCGGAGATATAATCATTATAACAGGATAAACCAAAGGATGATGGAAAATGAGGAATAGGAAACCAAATGAGATGAGATAAAGACCAAATGAATCAGGATAAAAAGGGGAATGAAATAGAAAAGAAATATGGAAAGGGGAAATTAGCGTAACGGGGTCGTACTTTCACACTTCCCCCCCTCAAAGCTGGGTGGTAGAAGTAACACCCTGCTTGACAAGGTAGTCGCGAAGAGGACGACGGGCGTTACCCATGTCGAATTCAGAGACACAGCCTCAGAAGGATCATAACCCTTCCAGCAAAGAAGAAGCTCCAGAGTG